ATAGTGCCACCCTCCCACGCACACTCTGTAGCTATTAAAGATTATTAAAAGCTCCTTGATCTCCGGAGAAGGTGTTCGTTCCTCTGTTGCCCGTGTGGCCTGTGCTGCTCTGAGCGGCACGCACGCAGCCAAACTTATTGATCCATAAAAAGTATAAAAACATGAGCGTTATTAGTATTTGATGTGTGCGCGAGACGTGAGCGTACAGTTGTGTTAGTTGTGTGCTGGATGAAATGTGCAGTCAAACACTCCTTTGACCTTTGCCAAGGTAACCCCACTCCCAGCACAACACTACTGCATGCTGCATGGCTCGAGGGCCTGAGGAGAGCCAATTAGGTTGCATCCAAATGTCTTTCTGTTTCGGAGAAACCACTCAAAGCATAAATCTCAGCATTGCCCAAAACTCCAATAGATGAATCCGTGTTTGATTGTGGGCAAATCTCTTCATCAGGGGCAATATCAATATTTCATCTTCATCTGCATTTGTTATAATGATGGCCCCATGCTCATCTGCTCTTTGTGTATTCATTTATGCACTTTATTGGCTCTTGGCTAACCTGAAGAGCACCCTCAATCATCAATCATCTCTCAATGGCAATCCACTCTGCCTTTTATTTTGTGGATATATTTATTTAGATTTATTTTGGTCGATTCAATCGATTGTTTTGATGGCCCGACTCTCTAAAGTGGTCCATCTGCTGTCTACTGTCTGCTGTCTGGTCCTGTTCAGTCGTTTGCAAATGTTTTAATCAATTATGCAAATCGTTTCCACTGAGCCATTATTTATGCGATTTACCAAAATTTCAAATGTGTGCATATTGATGATGTGAGAAATGAGGCGTGATGGACTGGGGCTGAGGCAGAAATCAGGTGGAGAGCGCCCGCTCTGCTTTCTGCTTGAGGCAGAACATTAATCACCTAACCGGAAGTATCTGCCCACTCATGCAACTGGAAATGTGTACATATCTTGACGACCCGAGTACGTACCGGTATCGGTGGTACTGGTTACCCGTTCTTGGACTGGGATTCGGATTCGCGATCGCTGTATGAACAGTATCTCAGTTGTATCTCAGCTGTCAGCCGCATTCGGAAAGAGATAAGAAGCCACACCGCAGATAAGGCCCCAGAACACTATATCTATATGGCAAATACAAATACTTACTCGAAATGTATCCGCACTTCCTTATGGGTATCGCTGGTCGTATAATTTTAATGAATGAAAACCACTTTTGAATTAACATCGATTGTTGGCATTACTCCCTTTCCACTCTCTCTCTCTCTCACTCTCACTCCGTTTTGTTTAAACGGATGGCAGCTGTTGAATGGAATTTCTCTCTTTCTGCTGCTTTGTTTTGTTTCGCTTGGAAGGTAATCAATTTTTAACACAAATGCATTGCATAAACAATTTCAAAATCTTGCACTCGGAACAGGCCATTTTTTGCGCACTGGTTGTTTACACTTGATTATTTTGTGTATTCCATTCCGTTTATGGCCAGAGATACACGTAATTTAACTGGTTTATTTGGATCTTCAGCAAACGCCCGCGCGCCTAGCTTTTGGCGGTGCCCACGCGGCCAAAGAAGACCTGGGCATCGTCTTTTTGTAATTTTCAATTGCTTTGCAAAAGGTAAACTCACAAGAAGAGAAACAGAAACCGATAAAATATCAGTATTATCGCGGTATTGTCGCGGAGCAGTACCGAACCGATGCTAGGCGAACCGAACCTCTGGCAGCTCGAGCAACGATCGTGCTGTGCTGGCGCTGTGTACCGCTGAAGTGTTCAGCACGTATTAATTTCTGTGTATCCGAAAGATACATTCCGTTTGGTCGCGCACAAGCGCATATGTGGGCAACTTCGCTGCCAGCGTCGCTGCCCAGATTAGCGGCCCAACTTGTTTGACAGAAAAACAAACAGAGAAAACGAGAGCAGGGAGAGCTGCTCTTCCCCCTCCCGTTTCGGTTTAAATTTACATTTCTGTAAACCTGAGCAATCCCCCCAGACTGAGACTGATGCTGATGATCGTTATGGGTCAACGTCATAGCGGGAGACACAGAGAAAGAGAAATGAAGAGATGGAGAGAACCTAATGAAAAGCGACAAATTGTTGTCAGTGCTGTCTCAAGTAGTGGCAGGCATTTCTCGTTTCACCTCATCTCGTCTCGTCGTCTCTTGCTTGCTTGCTCCGTCTCTGGAATGGGTTCGTTCCCTGACATCTGACAACTCATTTCATCCAAATGCTTTGGGTTTTCCTTGCAGATTTATTTGCAACATTAAATGCCAGCTGGCTGTGTGTGAATGTGTGTTTAATTTCCGCAATGATTAGAGTCAACTTAGAACAGAGGAAATGGCCAGACAACGTAGCTGTAAACGTTGTTTTGGCCAAGTTTCTTGACTGATTCCATCATATGCAAATCATAGCTCATCGAAACTGGGCGCAAAATTGCCCCCAAAAGCTGCTTCGACTCGGTTAATTAAACGTTTTGTTTTGTGAACGGGGCCACAAGAATCTCTCAAATCTCGATTGAGGTCAGAGCAAAATATGTATCTTTGATTTGTATTTGGTTATTTTGGCAGGCGGCTCTTGACCAAAACTCGTTGGCTTCCGGCTTCCAAATGATTCGCCGGAAATTGCTCTTACAAATCAAATGGATTCGGCCTGTGGCATTGTGGCTTCTCCATCTACACTCCACTCCACTCCACACCCATATCTATAAGCAATGTCTGTTCTATATAGCTCCCCCCGACAATGGCAGAGGCTTGGTGGATGCTTTCTCCAAGCTGTGGTCTCTGAACGACTCGAGCAATAAATATTGGATTTCCAACACCTACGATTTTCCTTGGACTTCAAATACTCATCCCATTCGGTTCGCCTTGGGTGGCCGACACCTGCACCTGCACCTAATGATGGCTAATTATATGTGGGTTAAGTTTCTGTTTTTAAAGCATTTTCATTAGTTTGATGGCGTGGCCAAGCCAGGGCAGTCGGTGTGAGGGTGGGTGGAGGAGGGTGGGGCGACGTTGGCCATTCTGGCTATAATTATATAATCATTTTAATTGGATCCGGCTATGTTTGTGGCAGCGGCACAACAAAGATTAATTATGCTGTAGATGTTGGCAAGAGCTAGACGAAAGAGCCAATACTACGACTCACATACTCGTATCTGGTAGATAGACACTTGAATACAACCAAGATGAGCAGCTTGAGCACAGGGTCAAATGCAGATTCCTTTCCAGAATCTTATTCAATTATAACGGCCATGTTGCACAGGTTGCAAGTGCAGGTTTGCCTACGCTCGGTTTGCTTTTGCTTTTGCCTTTGCCTTTGCCTTGAGGAGCTCTTGAGCTCAAAGTCTCCTCAGACATTTATAAATTAGCTGCAATTTGTAACTGCTGCTGCCAGCGCTGCTGCTTCCACTGCCACTCAAGTTAGGGCTCTGCCCCTGCTCTTGTTTCATTAGATCGAAATTAGCCACATCACGTGATCAGGGGCACGGAGACGACGGATACGACGGAGAACTCAAAACGGAACTCGCACCAAATGGTGCTGCCTCTTGGTGTCGGTCTTCGGGTCTCACATAAATTTCGGAAACCCTCTTATGTATCTCGTATCTGTGTATGTATGTATCTTTCTTCTACTCATACAATATTTTTTGATGAGCACACTCTCGTCGCATCACTTTAAATTAATTGTGTGTGGCTATTGATAGGCCGCTTCTTTGTTTGTTATTTCTTTGAGGGATTTGGAGCCGCGCAGTGGGACTGTGATTTTCCCTTCTGCATTCTGCATTCAGCATTTATATTTAGCCCGATCTGGAAAGTGGGCTTTGCGTGTCGCACGCCACACTCCGCCACGAAATATTCATTAAACTCGCCTTCGCGGCGTAAAGTGTCAAAAACAAAAAAATCAGTTCCATAGACCTCGGTCGCGTACATTGTGGCTGTGTTTTAATAATTGATTTATTATGCTACAATTGCCAACGGCTATGGAGACGGCTGCCCGCTGGCAAATTCACATCTTGTTTTCCCCAAGCCAAATCAGTTGGAAATGTTATGCAAAAAGTAGACTTGCGGCGGCTTATTAAATGATATTGGGAGAAATTGGGTCATCCAAGTGGGGAAAAGCAACAGGAAGCCACAGTTGTGGGGGAAAGTGGTGATGGGGTAAACTTTGGGGCAAAAAAATAATACGAATGTATGTTTGCATGTATGCTTAACCAACTGCATTCCAACTCAATTTAAGGATTCCTTCACTTGTGCAGCATTTCCTCATTTCCCGTTTCCATGGCCACTGTCGCCAGGCCACACAGTGCACCATGCTAGTAAGTTGAGGTCATTTTGCAGGCCATTCATGGCCCACTTAACCATAAATACTCGAATTTCCATTGCTGCCACTTGACCAGAGAGAGGCAGAGCCTCTCCCCAGACCCAATTTGCAGCGTTTCAATTAGCAGACACCTTCTCGGAACGAATCCGGCCAACGAGGAGTGGAGGCTGCAACAAAAAATACTGCTGGCCAATATCCTGGCGGAAATTAATGCTGCTGTGGCAAGCACAATGGCCAGAATGAAAGGGGCAGAATGGTGATGGAGAAAAACCGAAACGGAAAAAAATTGAATGCCACAAAACCAATACGATACGGGTCGGTGGGGGAGGCGCGGGGGCTGCAGATGGATGTCGGACTATTCGCTGTTGTCAGCAGTTCCTCTTCACCGACTGTTCGCTTCGACGGATAAAGGACCCACAGCCAGAGCCAGAGGAGGCTTAGACCATACCGACGCCCACAGTCGTTTCCAGCCATATTGAACATGCATACACACTACATCGGATATGCAACGTTTGCGGCAGGTAGGGTGGGATTGGGAGGGGTATGGGGATGCCGTATAATCGCTATCAATTATATTGTTCATGCTGTATATATATTGTTTTTTTCCCACAGACCAGGCATCGCATGACAGCCCGTACCTTCGGGGGAAACAGGAACGGAATGGAACGGAACTTACCTTGCCGTCGGCATCGGAGTGTGCATGGTATCGAACCTCCAGGGAGCCGCCCAGCACCGCATACCAGAAGCGTCCTTGTTCGCCAGCACGAAAAACTGAAAAGAAGATGGGGGAGATGGTGAAATGATGGCGATTAGTTAGCCCATACCGGGAGCATATTTAATCCAAACTGCAACTACTGCCACTTACGTGTGACGCCCTTCTCCAGGTCCTCGTAGAACCCGCACATGGCCAACTGCTGGAGTGCCGAGCCGGGCAGGCGACACAGCGGCTCCACGCGACGCAAGCGGCACGAGATTAGCTCCACATCACGCAAGTTTCGATCGCAAGGACTGCAGGAATATTTAAAAGCAAGTAAAAATAAGTTCCAAATGAATATCGCTGTAAAATTGAACAATGCAATCCACATGCAGCCATTCCAAGAAATAAAAGAAATCCCCAAGAGATAAAGCCAAGTTGTTAAACACTTTTCCAGCTGGGCCCCAGCTCGGCCAAACAATGGCCCCTAATCGACCAAAAGGAAATTCAAGAAAAATCTAGCTGAGTATTTTCCATTTATAATTCACTGGCCCTATGCTAAGCACTGCACTTGGATTTTTTCTTTCCTTATAAAGAAGAATATGCAAAAAAAACCCTGAGCAGGGCAGGGAAGGGATAGGTGGGCCATGGGAGTTGGGCAGTTGTCCAACAATAAACTAAAATTAAAAATTCCAATGTCATTTTTGTATGGTTTGTGCTCGAATTAAATATGCAAATGCCACAGTTTCGTTTCTTTCTCTGCGTCTCTGTGTTTCTGTCAATTGAAAAATGCATAAATAAATATAAGAGTGTCCGTGTCCGGAGAAGAGTCTAGCCGGAAACGGAAGCCGGTCAAGGCATACAAAAATATATATAAATTCAACAAGGGAAAACGAAAAAGGGAAAAAAAGCCCAGCAGCGTCAACATCTAATTGCCGGAACGAGAAATGGCAAGCTAGAACTAATTATAATCAGTCCTACAGTCAAGTCTTAAATCTGTTCGATAATTTCGCTGAAATATCCCTTTACATTTTAGCGTTTAATATTAAGCATTATCAAATGTGTAAAACTGTTTTCTTTCTTTTCTCTTCTGTATTTATCGCTCACATTATCATTATTATCTTAGTCAAATGAATAAATAAATGCTCATCCTTGAGGATATTCTGTCTACACCAGTCGAATGTACTTTTATGTGTACACATGTACATACATATGTATGTATTATATATATGAGATATTTTTATGAGTTATGAAAGAGTATTGCAATCTCCGGTTGACCTTAACTTCCCATTACTTCCTGTTTGTTTATCCTGTGGCTGTGGCTTGTTGCCGCTTCCCTCATTCCCTTCTGCCCCTCTCTCCTTTCGTGACCATTGTGTTTTCTCTGGGGACTTGGAGACTCTTCATTATTCATTTGTAAAGAAAAACATTAGACATAAATTCTTCGTGGAATATCGAACTAAGATGAAGGACTCTTGACTATAACAAAGGGCGCCAATTAATGGCCGGATCCTGCTGTATTCCTGCTGAGCTGCAGTCTAATTAAAAATTCCATAAAACTGTGAGAGGATTTGGCTGAAGTCCGGGCAGACGGGGGCCTTCACTTGCAAATCAAAAATAAAACATAAGTCGGTCTGCGCTGGGGCATCATCTGCATCGAGGGGGCGGCTTCCATTTGGCCGGGGCAGCCATTGGAGCAACTTTCCGTGGAAGCGGCTGTCTTGCCGAGACTCATACATAATTCATTCGCCAGTAGAAGCGCCAATTTTGGGCAAGCAAGGCAAGGACAAGGCAAATGCCTCGTTTCATGGGGTCTGTCGTTAACCAAACAGTCCCCGTCATGGCCTAAGTGCCCCAGCTAACAGGAGGAGCAGCAAAAGCCAGAACCAGAAACAGAACCAAAACAAGAAGAACCGTTTGCCGGAAGCGCGTTGGGGCGCATCCTAGGCTGTCAGTCGGACGCCCAGGACTCCTCGGTTGTTTATTATAATGGTTTTTGCGGTTTTTAGGCACACGCCCCAAAAGTTTAGTTTTTGGAATTTTGTAATTGCCGCTGTAGCAGCAGCAGACAAACTCCAAGAGAGATTTATCAGCCTTAAAGCCGTCGCGTCGCTATTCCTTCCTATTAAAGTGCTCCTATCAGTCGTGCCTGGCGGCGGCAGCTACACGTGGCGTATGATAAATGTGGGAGCTGGCACTTGTGAGTAAGACGACTTCTTGCCGGCATCCCCATCAATATCAATTGCCGTCTGGCAGTGCCACTTAACTCTGCCTCTGGCAAGGGATTCTCTGTGGGTTGGGAGTCGTCTCTGCCTTTGTCCCTGTCACCGTCACTTTCCTGCAGGTGTGCTTAAACCCAGATCGCTCTTGATAATCCGAATTACCAGCCAAAAGGAAATAAAGATTCTCGCTGCGTGACTTTTCCTTTTGTGCAGTTTCTGTGGTGGTGCCATTAATACTGTCTAAATTAAATCATTTATTACTCGTGTGTTAAGGCAAGTCATTAAATTGCGAAAGAAATCCGAGGATGTAGCCTGATTGTAAATTCAGTTCCCAGTGCAGTCTGCAAGCCCTGTTTGGCCGGAAGAAACGGGAAGGAGTGAACTGCAAATATTTGCCCCTGGCACAAGTCAAATAATCTGCTCAAAGCCTTTGCCACTTGACCTCTCTTTTTTTTTTTTGTTGCTGCCCCCCTCCTTCTTCCCCCTGGGTAGTGGCTGGGACCCAGTCATATGAGTGGAATAACGTGACCGATCCCTGGACGAGTATGTCCGAAACGTTTAGGCGTTGACAGAGCATGAGATTCATAGCGATTGCCTGCCCCTTTGCTGTGACTGATGGTGTGTGGGCGGTCGAGAGCACGCCCTGTTTGGACATCAGCAATGAAATATAATGCCAGTCGAGGACCAGGGGATGAGCAGTCGGCGGCAGGAGACTATAATAATGGCACTCGACCAAGTGATTCTCGAACGAAAATGAAACTCGAGCAAATTGCATCAAGTGGAGGGCCTTTAATTGAGGACCATTTACGCTTGAAATAAATACGATGGGTGCTCCCCTGTTTAGCACCGATTTGATTTCTATTTGGGCCCCACAAATTTATTGATGATAATTGCATTGGAAGTGACACCTCAACGGATCGACAGGGAATGGGAATGGATTTAATAAAGCGAATAATTCGTGGCACGCTGTTACTGTGTCCAGCATTTGGGGCAAACACAGCTGCTGCTGTTGCCCCTTGACAAATGAATGTCGAGCAACATGACGTGAGCATTTAAAATTGTTTCATTTCATTTTGGTTTTTCTCCCATCTCGTTTTCGTCCTGTTTTTTCTGTTTGTATTTCTTGTCGAGCTTTTCATTGCACGTAGTACATGTATCCCTCCATGTTTGTGTGTCCTTCTTCATCAAACAAGGAGCGAGCATAGCATGGCAAAAGGCAGAGGAAAAACTCGTGCACTCAAGCGTAAAATCTGTTGGAAAATTTAAGAAATTCTGCAACATTTCTGAAACACTCCACCAATTCGACTGAGAGAAACTTTCTATTTAAGTTGTGAATTTTTTGTAATTTCCATTAAAGAAAAGTTTGTTTTATAATTGTAATGGGAGTTTTTCCAACTGGATATTTTAATTACAATATGCCACGGGGTAACGAGAAGAATTCCGCGAAAACAGATCATCTGATGGAAAATAATCCGATTATAATGTCTCTCGCAAAATCTTTTGAAAAGGTAAATAAAGTTCTTGGTTTATTTTATTACCATTTTCAATAGTATTTTCAAATTATACCGTAATTTATTCTTAATTCCAAGCTGCTTTTCCATTTTACTCACCGTTTGTCCATCGCGGTTATCCATTCCATTGCCATTTTGAACGATTTTAATTACTTTCCGGTGCGCACTTTTAATTTGTTTCGAAGCGAATTCCTCGTATTGAACTTTCGAGTGTTTTATTGGGGCATTTCATAAATGGCGAACCGAAACGTTGCCGCCGATGGAACACAAATCGAAGGGGCGGCAGTACAGCAGCAGGGTCGGCCAAAACGAAATCAAAATACCGGAAAATGGCCTCTCCCCCAAAAGTTTGCCTGGCGTCTTCTTCAATTCGCGATGCTGCCTTCAATTTGCGATTCCCTTTGAATGGTGCATGCCACAGATAGTAAGCTGCGCGCCACTGTTGGATCTTCTCAGACTGTCAGAGTGTGGATTCCACTCCGCATCACAGACAGGGCAAAGGCTTAGCTTTTGTGTACACGAATTTTGCTTCTTGCTTAAGCGAAAGTTTCCAAATAGATTTTAGTTCTGCAAAGTTAAATTGGAAAAATTTAAGTCATATTTCACTTAGTGTTGGCCCGAAAATTAGTCTAAATGGCTACTGAAAAGTCAGATGTATATATATGTATGTATGTACATATGTGTATTTGTATAGTACATGTGTATAGAAAATGCCACAAACAGATGTAAAAGTCTAAATGTGAGTTCTTATTGTCCCATTTACATTTCGCAAACAGAAAAAAAAGGGTTTTTATCCCGTCACTACTGTTTGGCTCTCGCCTTCTCTTTGCCCGTACTAATGCGTTGCCAACTGCTGACAGCTGCCCTGAAGGCTCTAATGCATGTGTTTGTGTATATTTTCCTTAACAAAAGCAGGTTCTGTGAAAAAAGGTTTTGATGGAATGGGTGATAGGAGGAGAGGGAGAGAGGGTTAGGGAGCTTATAAATTGTCGGGGGAACTAATACAAGAATAGTTTTTTCTAGATAACAATAGATTAGCCGTTCCTTCTGCTGCTTCTCCTCTAACACAAGCAAATAAATACAAACACGACACTGCGTATGCTTAATGTGCTGTCAATAGCCAAACTGATTTCCCTTCTCTGTTCCTATCTGACGAAAATACTGGTAATATTCTCCAGCAATACGTAATACGAGATTTGTATGCGATCCCTGAGTCACCCTAATGTAGATACAAACAGGAGAGCCACTATCAATTGTTGTGTTCGCCCATTCAATCCATTATCTATATAGCGGCTGTACTTTCTGTCTGGCTTTCTGCGCTGGCTCTGCGTCAATGGAAGAGAACATAATTTGTAGAGACAAGGGACACGGGCGGACACACAGACTCATGCCACTGCTAGTGGCATTGGCAGTGCAGCATAATGAAAGGAAAATGCAAATGCAGGAGGAATAATTACTGTCAGTCTCTAGTGAAGCGGTCTCTTATGAATAATTAAGCTGGCCATCAAGTATACGCCACTGTGGGTGGCTGAAGGTGCCCCAGCGTATGCTACACTCTGTATCGCATCGCTCTATATCCGAAGAAAACTCTGTCAAAACAAAACCTATTGTATGTGATAATTCCGCTAGCGATAAGTGCTCACTATCGCAAACACGTCACAAAAAATGGTGGGTCTCTGGCTCTGTCAGCCGAGGTGGTGGGTGGCGGGGCATCATTCGAATGCAATTAGTGTCGGGCAGCGGTGTGCTGGGAGAGGGGTGATGAAAATCGGGAAACAGATGCTACGTGTAATTTCCACTTTAGGGATTCGCAAACTTAGTTTTTAATTAAACAAACGTCAGCTGAGAAAACTTTTGAGCCAATTATGTTTCAACTTTCGACTGCTGTCATTACAGATTACAAAAAAAGAAAAAGCGTTGGACAATGAATCAGAACTTACGCTTCAATGGTCGCGCGATCCTTCCCGAGTGATCAACGAAGCGGAAAAAAACTCAAGAAAATTATCAGAAGAAGTAAAAACCAAAGACTTAAAGTTCCCAAGCGGAACTTCTCCGTTCTCCTTTGCTGTTTTCCAGTTTTATTCTTTTCACTCCTTCGCCAAAACCGAACGGAACTGAACCGAACTGAACGTTTTTCCGGGTCCAAACATTTAGCCCCCTCTCCGTGGCAGCTAAAAACTCAACACGAAAATCGAAAACACAGATGGGAAAATAATTTTAAAATTAGTTTGACACTCTATTTACAAGAACTTTTCTTTTGAAATTTCCCAGTTGGTTTTAACAGCTAGTATATACAAATAGTTTTTGAGTTAACTTGGGAATTCTGAAACTTTTTGGGGAGCCCGCTCGCACGTCCGTTACATTTTGTAGTCGCGTCGCAACTGTTTTCCCGAGCGGCGGCGAGTGCCCGAGAAAATTTGCTCTTCACCACACTTCTGTCCTGCGCCTAACAGGTGAGTTTTCCATCTGTACTCTGTGGGGGCGGTGGTGGTGGGTTGTGTCCCCGAATTTCAATGGGAAATTTGGCCACTGGCGCTGACTGCAGTGCTGATGGCTGTGGTGCGGTATTTTCGGCTCTCTTTGTTGTTACCTGTCCTCCTCTGCCTTCTCTTTTCTGTATCATTACAAATCGTATATTTTGGCGCGTTTTTCGTTTAGCAACAAGTTTATTCCAAACAATAGGCAACAATCTGGATTTTTGCTGTCAACATTTCTCGAGTTTCTTTTGTTAGCTGTATTCAAAAAACACAAAAGTTGTAATTGCGAAATAAAACAAGGATGAGCTCCGTGTCAAGATCACGCCACGTGATTGCGCGCAGAGTTCCAGTACTCTATTCAACGTATAAAACTTGTAAATATTTAGGGATTCCATAATTTTAGGTATTAGTTTTTGTTAAACTAAATGACTAATGAAGAGGGTTGTACCCTATTTATTTCTGTAATCTATTCAATGTGAGGCCACGAATAAAACTCATTGATTGAATAACTTTATCCCAAATATCCCAAACAAGAACAATATTTATTTAAACTCAGAGCAATCCAATATACACAATTAAAATAATTAAGAAAGAGTGAAATAAAAGTTCACTTCAGCACGTTTTACATTGTAAGCGAACCAGTTGGATTGGAAGAGGTACTCCCCCTCAGGAAAGGGAAGGACTTCCGTAAAGTGCCGATTGATAAAGCCCACAGAAACCTTATCGACCACGAGATCATGCTGGAAATAAAAATGAGCAAAGATAAGTCTCTTCGAAAAGAAATTCAGATATTCGAGTATAGCGTACACTTACATCGAACGGACAAGAGTGGTTCATATTTGAATATGAGCTGAACATATCATGAATGAAAACAAAAACAGGGTTAGACTTTCGATTTGCCAATACCTTGCAAGCATCTACAGTGATGTTGTAGAGGAACAGCTTATAGCCACTGTATCGCTTGAGCAGAGCAAAGTTCACCTGTAACGATAGAATTTACAACTGCCCGAAAATAAACAAATATTATGTATGTAAACATACTTTCACTCTGGTAACGGGAACTTTAAACAAATTCACTTTGACGGAAACATATTTGTAGCTTCGATTCACCGACTTCAGATAGCAATACTCAAAATCATCGAATTCCTTGTCCAATGAAGTGCACTTGATGTTGGTAAACTCCACTTTCGAAGTGATCTAAAATATGTGATCATTATTACAACGATTTTTATTTGGAATCGAAAGGATACGCACTTCCCTAACTAGATGTAGAAAAAAAATCAGTTGAACCAGAAGAATGATCGTTGAGCTCATTTTGAAAATGAATGAAATAACAAAAGCCATTGTGATACGTTTTATATTTCGCAAATATCATAAGAGCATTTACCCCCATTTGGAACAAGTGTTTAAAGTCATATTAGATAGCCAATCCATTCCCATACTAAGTTTGGGGATATCAAAATGTGTTAGTACCCTTCCCAGTGAACCAATATCATGTGGCTATTAAACGTTTATACTGCTACTGTTTAATAATGTATTTTAGGGCATCCGCTAAACAGATTGGATGTATTTAAATGATTCGTCGTGTGCTAGCTGTCTGGCTGGAAGCACTCTAAATAGTATATTGCTATTAGTGTTCACATATTTAGCTTAATATTTTTATATCTTTTTTTTGTTCTTTATGGTCCATTTGGTTTGTTCAAATGGGTATGCCACAGACTAATATAGCTGTTCACTGGTTGACTGGGTTGAAAGTTTTAAACAGGCGGCTATCTGTAATCTATGACCTTATGAAAGAATATAACAATTATGTACTGTGAACAATCAGATTTATTAGTTCTGCGACGTGTGTTTGCTGTACCCCCATTAATATTTTAGAACTATCATTCATTCATTTCCTCCCAGCAACATGTTGCTGCCACTCAGTTTCTGCTTCTTGGCAACAAACTGTTGAGCGTTTCTTTGGTGAGTCGTCGCATTCGAGCAACTGTTCATCGCCTGTTGAACCATCCTCCGCTCCCGGTCCGCCTCCTCGCCACCGTGCTCCATCATACATACGAATGTACGAATAACAAACACTTGACTGAAATTGCACATTAAATGGAATTGCAATACAAAACAATCAACGTGTCAATTAAATAATGCAGAACAGCGGCAGATGGCTGACTGGCTGTCCAATTGGGTCCTGGCATGGATGTATCACTGGCAGGTGGGGAAATCCTCTGATGCCGATTCAATCCCAGCCGAATGTCCATGAAAAGGTGTGAAAATGCAAAGGTTTTCTTTTGTTTTTCCTGCCTTTGCTGGGTCTCCTGGCTGATATTGTTGCTGTGGTCGCCAGCCGCAATATTTACGGCACTCGAGAGTGCCTTTATTTCCGCATGAATCATTCCTCCCAGCACAGCCCTCTCAGCGCGTATAAATTCTTTGCTACTACTTCTTTCTCCTGGCTTTCCCACATCCATGTCCCTCCGCATTGGGTGTGTGGTGGTGTCTGTGTCTGTAGCATTTTTTATGTGCTGCCCATCGTAGACATTTTTTCGGCTGGGCTCTGCAGGGAAATTCCAGGAATTTATACGGCCGCTTTGCCTGTTGAATTTGTCATCACATGCTGATGGGTTCCCTTCTCCGTACACAACAGTACGAGTATGTATGCATGGCATGGCAGGTCAGGGTAGTGGAGACGCGACACAACGACAGGCCCGGCCCTGTCGGTAATTTTGATAAATGTGTTCTTAATAAACTCAGCTGGTACGAGTATCCTGTCGTGGTCTGGGCCCCGGCCTGGCTGTCATAACGGAGGCTACAATGTCTGGTTTCTGTGGCAGCTTTAATGCATTTTCTTTTTTTTTTTTCTGCCCATTATCGGCGCTTCTTGCCACCTGTACTAATGGCATTTCCTGTCCCAGTCAGCCGTAGCCTGGCCATTAGCAAGAAAATCCTGTTGCACATTGATCGACAACACAGTGTTGTCCGTGTTGTCCGTGTTTTCCGTGTACGTGGCATGGGCTTAACTTGCTGTCAGGACATGACTGGGAGGGAGTCTGTCCGTCAGTATGTCAGGGTGTGGGTGGTAGTTGTTAGTGTGTGTTTATAGCAGGGTTGCACCTGCTTTTCCACCTTGCTGATGTCATTGGTATTGGTAGAGTGTCTGTGTCTGTTAGTCATTACACTTTACTCTTTAGTTGCATTAGTGCTTATTCAATCAACGTTCAGCGCTCAAATTGCCTGTTAAGGTGGCCCACATCCTGCCCTGCCTGTCTGTCCTGTCCTGTTACACCCATGCAAATGTGTGTAAATTATGGCCGCGTAATTTGATTAGCCGATAGATGAGGCAGCGCACGGACATAAGCTGAAATGTAAACTTCGTTTATGGCCCGCTTGGAGCTTTCTCATGACCAGGTAATAAACACACATCCGCCCTCCCATGAGCTAGCCATCAAGTAGGCTGAAAATAGTTCCCCCAACAAAAGCGTAGCCCACTTTTGTGGGCGTGTGTGTCATAAATGTTTACAAGTAGCTGGACAAGCGATTTAATAAAACGTTCTTTGAGGAAAGGGATTAAAATGAACATGTAGCACGTTGCAAATAAGTGTTTAAGCGCCTTATGCTATATTCTAAGTAACTTGTATATTTGTATAATTTGTGTAGTTTGCATAAGTCCCCACAATATTCAAATTGCACCCAATCAAAATCTGTTCTAAATTCTGCTAAAATCCATGTAAAATCCGGCTAAATCAAAAGTTAACAAACGCAATGGACTCCCTCTTCATTTGCATTCAACCAAAAACTTGATTATCCGAGCGATTTACCGAGCAAAAGCAGAGTAGAGAGCCCAGTTGAGGAGGAGGTGGAGGTGGAGCAAACTGTGTGCTTAATGAGCTCGGTGAAATGTGTGCTTAAAATTAACTTTTAGCTAGCAGCACAAACTGATGACAGAGACAGTGTTTGAGGGTTGTCCTGGTTCTGCAGCTGTTGCTCCGCCAGACGGGACGCTCATAATTACGCATACAATTTGGAAGGCAGCTTCACTTACTAGTTGGATGGCAGAAGGGTGTCTCCAGTGGCCCAGACTTGCTTTAATAATTAAGACCCGGACAAATCAAGACATCCTTGAAGGCAACAAAACTTTCCAACATAAACACTCAGAGGATGGATGAAGTAGCGAAGAGCAAGCCATGAGAATTTGTGAGGACAACATTGGGCTGGTCGAGACGCAAAAGGCAGACACCGTCTGTCATCTGCAAGCCATCCAGCAACCAGCAAGTGCAGCCAGTGGAGAGCAGTGGTTGGGGTTGGAAAAACCCCTACTAAAAAACTAATTTCTCGCTTTGTTGAGCATAATTTTATGCAATTGTTTTTTAGATGGAATTGTAGAGTGAGAGCCATAGAGACCCACCCGCACATTGGCCCAAAAAAACTCGCATTTCCATTCGGTTTCTCTTTGATTGCGTTCGCTGCATTGTTTTCCTCATTATATGCAGCTATTGGAAGGCTTGCTTTATGAGCATATTGATGCAATTAAAATGCGCCTGTTGGCGCCATACGAATGCGTAGGCTGCAATTCGGGACTTAATCGTTCGATAATTGGATTAATTAATGGCCTGTGGCACTGCGATCATGGCGAGTACTGCTCCCCACTCAAAGCAGTTGGCACCTTGGGGAAAGTTCAATGTCGTTCAGCCAGCCGCTGTAATGGGTTCTTCGACTGGGGTGCCGTGCAGGGAGCTCGAACCCATTCAAAATCGTTTTGGGTGCACTGAACGGGCCGCAGCACCTGCGCTTCATCAGCTAAAAAAGCAGGGCAGCAATATTGAAACCAATTTACATTTTGTTGTACCCTTTTTTTTGTTGGTCTCTTCACCTGTCTATTTCTCTATAGCCAGCCAGTACTTTGGGCCACTCTGTTCTGCCTTTGACTCGCTCGGAATTTATTGCTCAACTCCACAGAGCGTTCAGTTCGGGATAGAGCTGCGGCATAGGAAAAAGCATTCAAACTGAGTGTGTAAGTTTTAATTTTATTTTCTCACTTCATTTGGAGGGTTTATTCACTCCGGGCCTGGCCATGGCGCGTACAACACTTTACATACATTTGCATAAGCGGCCGAGCAGTTTAAGCAACCTGTCCGGGTAGGTTAATAAACGGGCTTCACGCTCCTTTTGCTTAGCAAAGGCAAGGGCCGGGACAGCCGTTTAAAGCCATCTCGTAGCGAGTCGCTCAAGTTTTATGGCTCCTGAATCGCACTGCGGATTACAGATTACAGATGGCGGATTGCGGATGGCGCTCAGGTGTGACGAGGATTCTTGTCGGGCTGCTGATTATTTGTGGCTTACTGCCGTAATGCGACGCTTATCACATGGGCATCGCATTAGCAGTGTTTAAAGACAGTCGTGAAACGACCTTGAAAGGACTCCCCAGCACCGGTCTCCACCCAGCAGACTGTTTGATTAGACCGGACCCTGGTGCGGCAAGCAAATATTGTACAAATATCGCATTTGGTTGTTTTCTTGGCTTTGTTTGCGTATTTAATCAAGGAAGCCCAGTCCCAGCGGCTATTAAATGTGCAAATATTAGCCAGAACTAGGAGCTGAATCGGGGACCAGAATCAGGGACTGTGGCTAGGGCTATGTGGTGGTCCTTGTGTGTCCTTGTCAAATACTGTTCTCTCTTTGAGGGATGTGAGCACTTATCTGTGACCCACTTGCAGCCTAACTTATTTATAAGTATTTCATTGGTTGGAGTCATGCAAATTTGTCGGAATTATTCATGATACAGCAAGGACAAAGCCATGATTAAGCAGTTATGCGCTGGAACCTATTAACCTTCAAGCTCTCTCCCCAAATATATTCTCACACATCTCTGCGTAGCAAGTTATCCTATAGATTCCTCTTAACGCTGTGTTTTGTATTAAAGTTTTGCCCCCCATTTGCTTTTGTGGACTGTCAACGCTCCAACGTCCCAACGCGTTTACGAGTATGCCGCTCCAGCAACAACAATAGTAATAATTATGGACCCTCGACTACGTGCCACTATCCAAAGCAGCCATCGCTCCGTTCGTGCCTTAAGCACCCATCCAGCAGGAGGACCAGCAGCAGATTCAGCCCCAGATACGGCAGGGCCATTGGGGATGGCACGGGTAGACTCTCTCGAACTGTCGCGCTTGATGCGCTTTTGATAACTTGTTTGAGTTTTGTTTGAGCCTTCTGTCTCGGCCTGACATCTTTGTTGCGTGTTGCCTGTTGCCTGCTAGCTGTCGTCACTGTCAAGAGGCAGCCCCGCGTGACTTGGCCACCAATTCTGTAGCTATCAGGTTGATAAATAGTTTTTTGTTTTGCTCTCCTTGGATTACACAGGTCCCACGAGCCCTGCCGCTCCCCTCGAGTTGGTTTAAATTAAAAAGCGTCCAGCAAACAATTTTCCTCAACTACAGAGAAAAATTCCTGGTATCGCTGAGGGCAGCTTTGCAACCTTATATTTCCCCTTTTTTTTTATTTTCCGCACAGGTGTTGTAGTTCCCAAGCGCTATATGTATGTACATATATTTTTTTATTATTCGCTAAAGTCCTGGCTTTAACATTGCAGTGCCCTTGAGTAAAACGGAAGCATATTAAATGTATTTAAAATAAAACAAGATTTTGCACTCAAAGCACGCTGTCAGCTTATGCTGGTGAATAGTTTTTCAGAGATCTGGTAGCGATTCTTGACACCCTCTGCTAACTAATCCAGATATTTGCGATCCCTATCCATAGAAGATCCCCTCAATAATGGGGCCAATTGCCGGCAATTGGTGTCAATTTACGTAGTTCTTTTTTTGGTAATTTGAATGGCATATTGAATGTCTCACATATACAACAAGGGGCCTTCGATGTTTACGCCGAGGATTTCTCCATAAATAATCCATTGGAACATGTAACAAAATTGCGTCAAGTGGTCGCACACACAGAGGCACATAGACTGTGGCATTACATTGGCGGGTGGCGGCTGCGTGGGTGTCTGTTTTTTATGGCACCCCGGGGAAATGACGTACGACTACATTACCGAGTATGAACGCCAGTTTAATATACAAAACTTGACAATATTGTCACACAGTTAACACGGATACACACTCACTCACATGGGCACTCTCTCCAACAGCAGGGCAACACACGTGCAGCCAGACAAATGTGCGAATAAAATTGCTATTTTTGTGCTGCTTGCGTCTATTGTTAGCCCAATGAAAAAGTTATTCAAGCTGTCATCTAAACACACACACAGACACACACCACTAGAATGATAAATAAATGGTTTGTTATAGCAGCAGCAAATCGATCATTTTTCCACAGTAAAGCCAAATTGTTTTATGTGAAAAAATCTGCTAAAAGAATCTTCATATGCGGCTTGGCGTACATAAATATTTAAAGCACATAAACAATGGAAATTCAATTAATCATTTGGAATATATATGGGCAATTCATTTTGTGGTTTAATTCTGGCCAAAACCCCTCAAAGTAGGCAGAAATTCGGAGCCAGGCCAGCCAGCTATCCCGTGCTTCTAGCCACAAAAGCAAACCAGTCTTGAGGCTCTTCTGTTGGCCATGCTTTAGTAATTATTCGGCCGGCGCCAAGCGTTGACGTCATTTGCATGCACTGGCAGCACTCAAAACGAAATCAGAACAATTCGCAGCCGGGGAGATAAATCTAAAGGCTCTTTGTTTCGGCCTCACTTCCGCTCCCTCCGTACTTACTGAATGTAGTCCGAGTACACAAACAAAATCTCTCGCTTGGCGCACTCTTCAAACGTTTTTATTTAAGTTCTGGCCATTGTTTTTATTTGCCTTTAATGGCGGCTGGGTTTGGGCTCCTGAAGCAGGTGGAGTCCGTCCATCCCTCCCCTCCCGCCCCATCCATCCCCTCCGCTGAGTGGCAGCTTTAGTGTCGGTCTCTGTTTGCTTTAACATCGAGAAAGTTTTGTTCTTCTTTTCAGTCGAGGCAGCGACTCATAAAGCAGGCTGAAGCCCCACTCCTGGTTCCTTTTTTCCTGAACTTGAAGTTTTTTTCTTTCTTTCCTAGGTGCGAATTGGAAGGCGATGGGCTGGCAGGCCGCAAAACTTTTTCTCCACTCTCCTTCGCTCCGGTAAGAAAAGGTCACTGAACAATTGACAAAGTCGCTCTTCCGTTTTCCTGGGGTTCAGCAAACGCCATTTAAAAAGTTTTACATAATAGTTGGGCCCGGCACTTGTCAAGTGCCTATTAAGCTAAAGATCTTGTCCAAGGAAAAACAATGACAGGCGCTGGCTGCCTGACCAGCGTTTGATGCGGAAATTCAATCAAAGCTCGCTCAATTAAAAGCTGTTATTGGAACTCTACGAAGAACACTCATTAGGTTGAGTGCAGTAGTTCATAAGTTTGCTCATCCACGGGACACACACACACACCTCAACATCGGATTCTGTACAGCTTCCAATTACCGTCATTTGTCAATGTTGTTAATGGATTGCATTTTAAGATATATTTTTGGTGTCGGACTAAGAAAAAACTTTTTTTTTCCTTTGATTTAGTTTCTATAAGAATATTCTTTGAAGATTTGAATTCCGCGGCTACATTTAGCCATTTTTGTGTACTACGGATGCAGAGGGTGCTAGGACAAGAAGGTATTCAAGACTACAACTATTACGACTAAAACTTAAAAGACCCTCATATAATGTGGTACATTCGCATTTGCATTGCATTTCCAATTATAACTGTTTCCTAATCGCATATCTGTTAACATTGTGTATCCATGTGTACAAATCTTGGATTTTTGTTTTCAAATAAAGCGCCAAATAAGTTTCACTTATCGCACAAAAGTATCGATACTACCAAATATTGATTTTTATATATCCAAAAAATATCACATCACAGATATATCTTCAACCAAATATCAGAACCGATATATTGATACATCGATATTTATTTAACATCCACAAGAAAAACAGTGCAAATTGTTAACAATTTTTTAATTAATTAATTGCAAACGCAGTGCCGTTTCAATTGCCCAAACAGTACGAGAATCATGTTGGTCAACGAAGCTAGACAAGTATTGAGCCGTGCCAGTTCCCTGGTGGCACGTCACCAGGTAAGAAAAAAGGGAATGGTGGCTCCTGGTCGCAGAGAGCAGAGCTCATGGGCGGGCGGCTTTTCGGCCAGTGCAGTTATATAAGGCGGGCCAAAAGTGCTTGGCCAATAGATAAAGCCGATAAAAATCAAAAGAAATGAGTCGCAGTTTGAAAAATTAAGACGAACATTTGCGATTATGTAAACGTTACTGCACCCAGCAATTGGAGAAAATCGTTATGGCGTGACTGCAGCCAGGCCAGACATTCGGTCTAACTGGCACACTTACACACACGACAACAACACACTAACATTATCTCCGTATTTCTTGCAGCTGCGCGCCATCAGCAATGGCACTGCCCAGTTGGATCAGCAGGCCCAGCCCAAGGAGGCCAAGGAGCCGCAGATCAAGAAGTTCGAGATCTACCGCTGGAGTCCGGACAATGCTGGCGAGAAGCCGCACATGCAGACCTACGAGGTGGACCTGCGCGAATGCGGCCCCATGGTGCTGGATGCCCTCATCAAGATCAAGAACGAGATGGATCCGACTCTGACCTTCCGTCGCTCGTGCCGCGAAGGAATTTGCGGCTCCTGCGCCATGAATATTGGCGGCACCAACACGTTGGCTTGCATTAGCAAGATCGATACCAACACCTCCAAGTCGCTGAAGGTGTATCCCTTGCCGCACATGTATGTGGTGCGCGATCTGGTGCCGGACATGAACAACTTCTACGAGCAGTACAGGAATATTCAGCCCTGGCTGCAGCGCAAGTAAGTAAAAACGAGCCATCAACAGAGCCAACACTCATCTCTGTCCATTCGCGCTCCCACAGAAACGAGGCTGGCGAGAAGAAGGGTCGGGCCCAGTACTTGCAATCAGTGGAGGATCGCTCCAAGCTGGATGGTCTGTACGAGTGCATTCTGTGCGCCTGCTGCTCAACCTCTTGCCCATCGTACTGGTGGAATGCGGAGAAGTATCTGGGCCCCGCTGTCCTCATGCAGGCCTACCGGTGGATCATCGATTCGCGTGACGAGAACTCTGCCGAGCGTCTGAGCAAGCTAAAGGATCCCTTCAGTGTCTATCGTTGTCACACGATCATGAACTGCACCCGCACCTGTCCCAAGGGCCTGAATCCGGGCCGTGCTATTGCCGAGATCAAGAAGCTGCTTGCCGGTTTCGCTTCGAAGCCAGCTCCCAAGCTGGAGACAGCGGCTCTGCACAAGTAAAGCCAAGTTTCTTCATCTTTTTTGTTCGTGCTTTCCCCCGAAACCCAAGCCAGTAGGCAACGCGTTGCTAAATTGTAAAAACAATTTGACAGATCCAGTGCAGTGCAAAATCCTCCAACCGATTTGCTTACAATGTTTTAATTTATTTAAGCTTACAGTAAACAAAATATATTATTACAGTTTTAAAGGGAACGTGTGTAACGCAAAAATAAATAGTTAATTGTGTATCCACTAACGCTTCTGCCTTTGCATTAACTTCAAGGGGCACGGGGTCGTAGTCGCCTATTCATCTACATCTTCGGGCGTATAAAAGTCTTGAGTAACTGGAATGACCCGATCGTTGGTCTCGTCATCCTCCTCGTCGTGACTGTCCGTGTCCTCGCTGTCGTCGTTGGCTGTGGAAGAGGGTGATAATTGTGATCTGTTTACTTGGGAATCAAGTTCGTCTCAACTCACCATCTTCATCATCCGTCTCGATGCCCGGTATCGTCAGCATCTTGCCCAAAGGCTGCAAGTCTGTCCCAGCAGTTTTGAGGGACTCACGCTGCCATGGAAAATTATGTTGATTGCAAATTATGGCCCAAAATGGAGGCGGATGGTGCTTACCCAGTTGCTGCGTTCGTCCTCGTAGCGCCTGGTCTGCGCCTCCTCGATAACGGATGCTGGCGCCATGTCAAGCCAATAGCGATTGGCCACTGAGACCTTGAGACTGGGAAAGAAGGGGATCATCGGCATAATACGGAATTTTCGACAGCAGTGCAAAATTTAATTTCCACTCTTGTTATTGTTTTGATGGACGCCTTCTTGATGATATGGCAACGCCACGCCGCGACTCGCGGTATCGAAAAGAACTCTGAGGTATCGAAACCAGAATACCCAAAAACAAAGGCAATTTGAATAAATATTTGTGTGAATTTGTTTATTTATCTATAGTAGCTATAAAAACGGACTCTTGCGCGATGCAGGGGAAGGCATCGTCACTAATGCATATTTATTGGTAGTAAAGTTCCAGATTCATGCCGTCATGGATTTCATCTGCAGAAGAGATTTACAAAAGGAAAACAGTTTTAAATATTGCTTCAGCTACATTATTCAATGACGTACAATCAGATAGGCGGATGGGATCCTTGTAGATTGTGTACCATTTCTTCAGTACAATCTTCTCGTGTTTTGTGCCTGTTTGTGCCGCTATAAGTTTCTTCAAGTCTCCAACAGTGTCGTCCGGGTTGCACTTGACGCGCACCTGTTTGGTATATGTCAAAGTTAGCGCACGTAATTTGTATATGTGTGTAGCTAGTTACCTTTTTTCCCAGTCGATCGTTGCAAGTTATTTCTATCATTTTTGTCTATAAAAAAAATCCACAATAGCACAGTTAGTGGTGATATAGATATAGAACGATATTTTGATGGTCGATAATATGGATGTCGATATTTGTATGCGATAAGCTGAATAAATTACGTTTTCAATTTACATTTATTTGAAATTGGATCTTCTGGGAGCTATAAGTTCAGGTATAACTTACTTTCGTGAAGCTTGTTTTTGACAGAGATATGATTACAAGAGATCGGAGGAGTCCATTGCACTGCTGTCAACATCTCATCATATGTTATTGTGTTTTTTTTGTTCATTTTTCCAGCTGCTTGCAAATTGAAAAAAACAGATGCGCGACCTTTGTTGTGTTTTTTCATTTTATTATTGTGAGGAGGAAACTGTTTTATTGTTTGTCCAAGCTCAAAAAGGTGCATTTCTCTGTTGTATTTTCGCTATGCAGCGGACAACTACATATAATACGCAGGTGGCAAGCCCGTAGCAGAAAGACACGAATATGCCGCGCTCCTACTCCAGCTCCTTGTTGCTCCTCCTGGCGATGGTGATGCTGATGACGCCACTGCCTTTCGCCGCCCATGCTCAGATAGTGCCCCGAGGCCATTGCAGACCCACACCCATCCGCGTCCCGGCAGGTGGCATGGTCTGCGAGCAACGATGCTACACGCCCGGTGTCCCACCATTCCACTGTAGGCGCTTGCCCCTCACAACTGATCTCCAAATCTGCGGCAGGAACTGTTGTCGCTCCGGCCCCCACTGCCTGCAGTTGCTGCGAACCTAACTGGATTAATTTATCGACAGATCGCTTGATAAGTAAATAAATAGACATAATAAACGCTTCTTAATTCCGGTTGAGGTAACGCTCCTTAATTACACTCAAATCACAAGCGTTCCCGCGCTCAAAGATATGACCTAAATATATCTTTCACATTGGTCAATTATGTTACTTACATTTTCCTGCAATTATTTGGAACTAGTCATCTATCGATAAAGATATTGATAGTATCGGTGCTACTATCGATGCTTTTACAGCTAGATTTTGCAGCTCTACCATTTTCTACTCATTCGCATTTTTTTTCGCCGCTAAAAACGGTGCGGTGTTCGCAACTATCTGAAAATTATATTAAACAATAAATCCACCAAGTGCGATACAAAGTGTAAGTGGAAAAATTAAATCAAAAATGCAAATACGTGCTTAGAACATGTTGAGATTGTATTCGAGAGTGTGTGTGTGTGTGGTGTGGCTGTGTGCGTGCTTCCGTTTTTTCATCTAAGCCGCCGCCGTCGGCGCTGCCTGTGGCAATGACGCAGCTGCGGGAAACTTGTTTGGGTTTTCATTTCAATGAAATATTTACCGTCTGCGTGTGCTGGGAGCGTATTTTGGGCAATTTGTATTGATTATTCGTATGTTTTTGCTGCTGGGCGCTGTGCCCCTGCTAGCCAACCTGTACCCCACTTTCCACTTATGTTTGTGAAAAAATTTCCTCTGCTCGCATTTTAGCCTCACTCCACGGTCACTGGCAAGCGATTCATTCGCAATTCGAAATGGCTCTTGCTTTATTTTTAGACTCAATCTTTCTAGCCCCCAACCTGCGTACACTTGCGCGTACCTCCCCATTGCATTCTAATTAAAACCCAGACACTGCGCTCATTTCAACACGCATCGCATTGCATAATTTAATGTAAAATGCTTCAGGAGGGAGCCTCTCTTGGTACTAGCTCAACCCAACCCATTGCCCGTCGTCGAAAAGCACTCGAGCATAGAAGTAAAGTAACAATTAGCCAAGCCATAAAGTAGTATGTCAAATATTTCGTTATTACGGTCTGTTAGGAGAAATCCGTTGTGTTGTGGGTCTGTCTGCACAATTGTAAACAACCCACGCCTAGTTTACACACACACACACGCAAGCACTTTTTAATGTTTATTTCCATTTTACCATTCCATTTGCAGCTAACCAATAGCAGCAGCAGCAACAGCAACCTTCAGCTGGCCCTAAAACATACTAGAAGGAGAATCTAATCATGAGCGATGATACGTACCAGATAGAGACGCGCCGGCGTTCGCGTTCCAAGACCCCCTTCCTTCGCTCCAGTTGCGATCATGAGAATTGCGAGCATGCTGGCGAGGAGGGACATGTGCATCACCAGAAGAAGAAGTCAGCGCTGGCCCCCAATGTGCAGTGAGTATGAATACGAGTGGTGGGTGGAGTGGGGAAGGGAAGCGTCCCAAAATAGACCTAATTACAGCATTTGCTTATCACTCAACATGCCATTGATATCAGAAGTCTAGAATTCTCTTGGTTGGTAGTGGTAGTAAATGGAGTTTCTTCGGTATGTGGGCAAGGCACGCGAGTTTAAACACAATCGTTTGGGGCAGGCAGCGTCACAACCATATAGCAATAACCCCATGCACGTTGTCAGCTTGTGGTGGTGTTTTCGGCCATGACGTCATCTTCTTGTTATTCACACTCGACGCGAAATTCAATTTCGAAACGGCTAGAGCAGGCGGGCACAAATGAAAACGAAGGCAAATCCACACGTACACGTACACGTTTATCTCTGTGTGTGTGTGTGTTCGTTTGTTTGCCGTACAGGGTGTGTTCTGCTATGGTATGGCTTTTCTCGGCTTTGGCGCGCATTTTGACCGAACAGTTAATGAATCAAATAAACTTCGTCGTCGTTTCGTTGATGACGACATCTGGCAGTCACAGCAACATGCTCTGGCCTGGCCATCATACATAGATTCGTTTTCACGTTTTAGCCACAGAAAACCAGCATGTTGGGGCGGGCGGGCATTTAAGAATTGAAGGTCAGAGTAGCTCATGAGCATATTATTGTATATTTGTTTTGATACGTCGCTGTACGAGAATTGTGGACAGTTTCCCAGAATCCCCACTAAACCTCTTTCTATTTTTATTCGCCACTTGCAGAACGATCATCGAGGAGAGTGTTGTGGTGGAGTCGAGCATCAGCAAGAAGGGACGGAACAAAGCATTTGCCCAGATGACCTCGGACTTTTCGGTCGATGACATTAATCCGGAGGTGAAGCGCAAACAGACCTCGACCACCACAACGGTCACATCAATCACCAGCAAAAGAACGGGGGCCACATCGACCCCCCACAACAAGGTCCAACTGGAGACGAAACAAAATGTTTTAAACACCGCCCAGGAGCAGCTGAACAGCAGCAAACGCTCAAATGGCACTCACAGCTCGGTGGATCCCAGCGATTACTTGGCCTACATTGAGTACAGAAATGCTGGAGAATATTGGAAGTGAGTAAAGGATTGGGTATGGATTATTTGTGGTACCATTGACCTAACGAAATATGTTTTTTTTTCTAGCAAAACCCCCAAGACGGATTACACATATTCACAGCTGTCTCCACATCGCCGCCAACTGGCCCCAGGGGTTGTGGCCATGCCCAATATGTCGCGTCGTAGCCTCGGCAACCACGATGCCCGCGTCAACTTTATGGTCCAGCAGAATCCGGACCAGGAAGAGCTCATCCGTCGTCGCTACCAGTCGAGGACCACGCAGTACGTGAACTACGACTCGGGCGACGAGCTGGACGCCACAATGTTCGGACAACAGAAGAAGCAGAGCTTCTGGCTGGTCCGCCTCATCCAAGTCGTCCTCAGCACCATCACAACTTTGTGGACACGCGTCACCAACATTTCGGCCACAGAGACGAGTGCGTATCAAACCTATTACGCCAGGCAGCAGAGGAACCAGGAACGCAGTGTGGTAGGACGGATTGGCCATGCCATTGGCGACAGTCTGTTGAGTCTTCTGCGCTACGTATATCTGTTCATTGGATCGGTACTGAGTCTGGACACGTGGCTGCTGAGATCTTCGAATGCGGAAAACAAGTCGAAGAAGCGTTTTCTCATACTGCTGCTGATCTTGCTGCCCTTGCTGCTGCTGACGGGTGAGTAGAGCTGTGCTACACATTGCCGGAGGTTAAGTAAAATATATGTGAGCGTGCGCCCTGACCTTGAATAGGGTCGACAACCAGTGACATATGCATATATTCGACCTCGGTTGGATTTATTTATACACGAGACCGACTGATCGTTGTGGAGAGCGCGTTGTTTGCACTAATTTACATACAACTACAAATAGCCACGGCCACGAGCACGGACCACGTGAATATATATTTTACTTTGGCCATTTCCAAGTGACCAATGCCTAATGAGCTTCGCATTTGCAGGTCTGTTCTATTACCTCCATCCCAACGAAACTTTCCCCCCCAAATCCCTGTCCGAATACACAATCACCTTCACCCTGCCCGAATTGCCCAAGATCAATGTCAGTGACTACCTGAACCAGGCCCAATACGAATCGATGCGCTCACAGGCTGCCGAGCAGGCGGTACGCGTGCGTGACTGGGCCGATGACTATCTGCTGTATTTAAAAACTATCGGTCAGAATGTGGTCGCCCGGGGACGTCAGTTGTTTCAGTCCGACGATCAGGTCTATTATGAGCGTATTTAGGGAACACTTTGAGCGGCTGTCCTGCCGTTTTATTTTTGAGCTGCTGCAGCAGCTGTTTAGTTGATAGATACACTCTGTCTCTCTCCCTCTCTGTCTCGTATCTGATCCTGGATCTGGATATGTGTCAACTTTACGAACAATTGAAGTACAAATTAAAAAGCATTTGATTCATTTTCTTGCGGCTTGTCAGTCTGCTTCGTCCACAAGTTGGTACATTTTTTTGTTTAATATTTTTTGTTCCTGCTCATTGACTCTCCCCTATCTCATACACAAAAAAAATATTTCCCCACATTACTAACCCAAACAATTCAACACAACCCCCCACCCAAAAAAAAAACACCCAAAAAAATGCAAAATCACAGGCTGATGGAAGAAGGATAGAGCTCGCCGCCGTTTATACATATTGCAGAATTTTTGTAAAATTAATTTACATTCATTCACATGCCACGAGTGTGTGTATGCCCCAAACAATTTATAATTGTTGTCGGACAACGTTTAATTGTAATTTGTTCACTGTTTGTTTTGTAAGAGTCCTGTACAAAAGAATAAACTGCAAACAATTTCATAAAAAAATCACCTAAAAAGAAAAGAAAAGAATCGTTTGTTTTATTTGCCATTTGATGGAATCATGCGAAATGGTAAGTAGAATGACAAGCAATATTAGTTGGCCAGTATCGAACTCTATCCTTCTGCATTTCTGCATGTGTTGGCATTTCCCCAAAAAATCTAATTTCCCCCGTAGCCTATGCCCTGAATTTTCTAAAAGTTGTGGAGTGTGGGGGGAACCGAAATGTAGAAGGACTGCCAACTAATAATGCCTTGTTTCGTTTTATCTTTTGGCCAGCCTGGTCGCTGTTGCAGGAGGATCAGCAACATAGCTACGTTCAACATGTCCAGGCCCTGCTGCCACTGCCTCTGACTCTGCTGGCCACTTGGCGTGGTCATTTGTCCAGCGCCACAGCCTCGCTCAAGTCTCTGCTGGAGCTGCCTATTCTGCCCAGGGCTCCTGAAGAAGCCAAAGACAGCAAATCGAACATGGCTAGCATGGAACAGAGCATAAAGGAAGCCCTTACCGCCGAGGAGTACGAGAATATTCTGAATCACGTCAACAGCTATGTCCAGCAACTGGTGGAGCTGAAGCTCCAGCAGCAGCAGCAGGCGCAGGCACAGAAGGAGCAGCAACTGTCGCCCCAGCAGATTCACATTATCGTTCAGCTGATGAAGGAGAACCTCCAGGAGTTCACTGCCAAAGCGGAGTTCAGTGAGCAGAAGCTGAGTGACTTGGCCTCAAAACTGAGGCTGGAGCTGCAAAGGTCGGGCGACTGGCAGCCAGAGGCGAGACTGTCATCAGCTAACCTAGAGGAGATCACCAGGCTGATCAAGGCTGAAGTTAACCTACAGGAATCACACTACACGCTGCTGTTGGAGAAGATAGACTTGCAAGCTTTGCTGGAACGCATTTTAGGCTCACCAAAGTTGGCCGACTTCGTGGACGGACGAATTAATCTGTTCCTACAGGCGCAGAAGGAGCTGAAAGACGGCTCTGGGTCGCATCCCACCGAACACCACATCGATCAGCTTAACAAGGAGATCGCTTTCATCAAGCTGGCCCTCTCCGACAACCATGCAGAGAATGCCAATCTACAACAGTCCATCAGCAGTCTGAAGCTCGGCCAGGAGGATCTATTGGAGCGCATGCAGCAGCATGAGCTGGCCAACGATCAGCGATTCAGTGGACTGTTGGCCGAGATCGAAACCAAGCTGGCATCCCTAAACGACTCCCAGTTTGCCCTGCTCAACAAACAGATTAAGCTCTCACTGGTCGAGATTCTGGGCTTTAAGCAATCGGCTGGGGCCAAGCTAGACGACATCGATCTGCAGAATTGGGTGCGCAGTGTGTTCGTGGCCAAGGATTATCTGGAGCAGCAGCTGCTGGAGCTGAACAAGCGCACCAATAACAATATTCGCGACGAGATTGAACGCTCCAGCATCGTGCTGATGAGCGACATTAGTGAGCGTCTCAAGCGCGAGATTCTGCTGGCCGTCGAGGCCAAGCACAATGAAAGTAGCACGTCTCTGAAGGGGGAAATCGGCGAAGAGGCAGTGCGTCAGATTGTCAAGACCGTGCTGGCTACTTACGATGCCGACAAGACGGGCCTTGTGGACTTTGCCCTGGAATCGGCAGGTGGACAGATCCTGTCCACACGCTGCACCGAAAGCTATCAGACCAAAACAGCCCAGATATCGGTGTTTGGGATTCCGCTGTGGTATCCTACCAACACGCCTCGCGTGGCCATCTCGCCTAATGTCCAGCCAGGCGAGTGCTGGGCCTTTCAGGGCTTCCCCGGATTTCTAGGCAAGTCCTTACTTGCACTTTGACCCAGACATACCTTACATTGAACATTATCTTACAGTGCTGAAGCTAAACTCCTTGGTGTATGTCACTGGGTTTACCCTGGAGCACATTCCCAAAACTTTGTCGCCCACGGGACGCATTGACTCTGCTCCACGTAACTTTACGGTTTGGGTAAGTGAGAAATCTCATTTAACAGACGGCTCAATTCATTTCTGATTCATTTGATTCCACAGGGGCTGGAGCACGAGAAGGACCAGGAGCCAGTTCTGTTTGGGGAGTACGAGTACCAGGACAATGGCGCCTCCCTGCAGTACTTTACACTGCAGAATCTGGACATCCAACGGCCATACGAGATTGTCGAGCTGCGCATCGAGACAAACCATGGCCAGCCAACATACACATGCCTCTACCGGTTTCGCGTGCACGGCAAGCCGCCAGCGTCGTAAGTCTTAAGTCGTCGTACCGTCCACCCACCCACGACCACTCACCGCTCCCCACACCCCAATATCCACTCTAGTGACCTAAGTTCAGTCAGGTGTACATAATAATGTCTGTGCCTTAAGAAGGAAAACTCAACAATATATCGCCGCGAGGGAATGGAAGAACGGATCCAGGCGCCCCTCTTTACTTATGCTATATGTAAGGCTATAGTTTGTAAGTGTTTTTGTATCATATCGTAGATGGATGAGTGTGTTTATGGCCTATCCCATAGAAGCAGTTTGTACATACATACCTAGGTGAATAAGTCCAGGCAATGTCCTTGTAATATTTATTCAGATCTACTTAGTTTTCCCCTCGAAGAACTCGTGTCATCAGTTCCTTTCAGCCTCTTCACCGAATAACAGATTTAAGGATATATTTTTATCATGTTTGCCATTTAAAACTCGTTCGTTTTAAGGTCAGTCATGGCTCGTCACAGCCGCACAAAACTTGCTACAAATCATAAATGTAAGCTATCACTAAGCTATCACATATGCTACCTAGAGTGGAACATTAAGAAATGTTTATATGTAATTACCGGTTGAAATACATTGAAGTCAAAAATAAATTTCTCGCACTTTAATGGAATCGACGAATATACATATACACCAGTTCAATCCAGTTCAATCCAGTTCAATCCAGTGCAATCCAGTTATATCCGTGTATACGTTCTAGATAAGTTTAAAGAGCGATCCCAAAAATAGTTGATAGTTTGACCTAAAAACTCTTTCTATTCTGTTTATGCTTGTAAGTTAATTTAATTGGCATAGTTTATCGGCATGCCCTCCTTTTTTTCTGTAAGGCTTTAACCTATTTTTTCCCAATAAATGCATTGAACGGAGTAATTAAAGCGGCATCTTAGTCCAAAAGGTGAGGGAAAATTAATGGCTAACAAAGCCATTAGAAGGCAAGTAATTAGCCCGTACGGCTGCAGCAGGTTTTTACGCGTAAAGTATTTTAAACACAGAAAAAAGAGTGCACAGAAAAATGCAATAAATTCGAGCTACAGAACTCATAGAAAGCGCAAAAAAGTGTGCTGCTGTACAACGGGTTTATCTTTATACCTAACCAGCATTATATTATCCATCTTCCTCCTCATAACATTTCAACAGGATTATCCATTCTTCATTTTTAATTATACATTCATTTCACTGCTCTGATGACCAGATTTGCTTTACTTATTAGACAAAAGTCTGTAATCTGTAAGCCATCTGTTATACGTATATGTATGTACATACCCACATATTTGACGCATCCAAGCTTTTGCTTGGCTTGTGGTTTAATCTGAGTCGACAATAAGATGCCAACCTGTCATATAAATTGCAATTTGAGAGAGTCTTATCTCTGGGACAGAGTCATGTCTAAGCAACTTAAATTTGAGACGAAAACGAAGGCATGCACTTAATTAAAAGGACCCCACTGCTGACAGTGTGCGGATCAGAGACAGAGTGATTAAGTGAGAGCCTTGTATAATTTTGGCCAAAATATGCACGTCGATGAAATTGCACTAAGTGGAATGGGTCCTGGGTTGCCATGCTTGGCAAATGTTTCAGATTCTCAGGAAAGGACAAAGGCCCTGGGCCTTTATGTTCCACGACTTAAGTCTAAATTACTAACATTGCTCACGTGTTTGATGTAATTACTGACAGAGCCCCCACCCCCACACACACACACATACACGTTTGTTTTAATTGCCACAGAACCAGAACCCCTGAACTTTTAATTTAGTTGGGCGTAAATTTGGCATATTCATTTGGCACCTGCTCGATGGCTGGCTGAAAAAATGCCAGGTCCTATAGAATATTTAATTTGCTTACACAAATCTTGGCTCAAATGGCAGCCACCACAGATAGATGGGGGAAGCGTGGAATCGGGGTAGGGCAGCCATGAGAGGGGGTGTGATGTAAAAGCCGTCAGTTATTTAACTTGCCCCAAAAGAATAAAAAATTGAAACAACTTTGAGGACTCGCACTCCAGCCAGGCAAAAGTTTCGTGCTGCGAGTGTGTAACAATTAAACTGCAGCTAAAAATAGTGACTAATGAGAAAAGTTTCACACAACGGCTGTAAAAAGCAAGAGCAACCGAATCCCACTAACTCCACCTCCCTCCAACGAAACAAACTGAATAACTGAGCGGACCAGAACAGAACAGAGCGGAGTGTTTAAGTTTGCAGCAACTTTTCCCCTATTTCGTATTGAATTCGCCGGCGTGTCGGAGCACAATTTGTGGGGCATTAATGGTGGGGGGACATCATCATGGCGGCCATAAAGAGAGCTGCAAACCCGCCCAAGACAATAAAAACTCTAGGCATCATAACACACTCTTATCTGGCCATCCATCTCCCAGGGGGAGAATGAAAAAGGAAAAACTTTGACACAACTTTCTCTTGATAAGGGAATTCTTAGGCCAAGTACTATAATGCAATGATGCCTCTCTAATCAGGTGCATAGGCATATTTAACCTTTACCAAAATCGACCTAAATCTCTGTGCTATTATCATTTATCAAAAGTACAACCACAGTCCCCGTACCCAGGTGGTATGCATCTGTCCCAGCCCCCTCGTAGCCTTTCCAGCTGCGCTCATGCACTCGACAGTGACTTTTATGGACTACTGTCATGGACTACCAGTCAAAGTTGTCCTTAAATGTTGTCAAATATGAGATTCGGGGGTTACGGATTCTGGATATGTACTGGCTTTCAGTTTCAACAAACGATTTCCGTGGCTGTGCGAGTGCCAGAGTCACGACCGCATTAGATATGCGCATACATTGGAGCGGTCTCTGAAAACTTTTGTTTGCCATTCAAATATTTGCGCGTATGTGTGTGAAAGTGGGTGGTGGAGTGGGCGATCAGGAGCTGCTGTCGTTTAGTTAGAGACACTTGTGTGTGACTTGTTGTCGTAATTAAATTTAGTTGCAAACGGAGAAATACCGGACTGGAGATAATAACATTTCAACAAAGCGTTATGCAGTCATTTTGATAAATTTAAATTTGATTCCATTTCCATGTGTCCACAGTCCACATCCACATTCGGACCGGCTGGGCAGGAAGTGTTTTGCTTTGTGACCATAATGAAATAAACTTGTCACACAGTCGGCACAAGCCATTAGCTTTACGAGTGGGAGAATGGCTTCCTTCTGCCCCCCAAAACTATTTAAATCCGCCGGAGGGGGCCCAGCATGCAGGAGCATTCAATCGAGAGGAGTGTGGGATGTATTTTCATTGGAAATTTAATTACGCATGAGTGTTGTTACTAGTGGAAAGTTAATCCCTGCCGGCAGCGGACATTAACCTTAATTAAGTGACAAACAATCCGATTTCTGGTCCTTCTTCAAGCCTTCAAGTGCGTCACGCCATCACTTTATTTACAGGCAATTGAATTTTAATGGGATTTGGCTCTTGCAAAAATGCCTGCCCTTGGGTGTAGACGCTGCTTCAGGAGGCTCTGGCCCTCAAGGCAAGCTCTGTTGACCATTTGCATAGTTCTTGGCCAGGCAACTCTTTAGCTTGTTGACCATTATTTCGCACTCTTTGGTAATTTAATTCATTTGCAATGCCTTTGGCAGTTACGCGAAGGGAAGGAGCCTGCTTTCCTACCCCATACCCCAATCTTTCCTGCCATTTTCGTTTGTTTGCGTATTTCAGCTTAAAGTCCTTTGCGGCTTTTTGGGGCCGCCACCCAGCTTTCTTGGTCGACCTCGAAAAGCCGCAAGCCACTTTTGCGATCCTTCCTTGGAGTCATCTTAACGCATCATTTAAGCCGCCTGGAGGTAGGGCAAAGATGAGGGTATCCTGCCCCTGGAATCAGGGTCAGATAACGTCTCGGCTGTGTTGCGCTTAATTAAAGATTAAATGTGCTAAGTTGTTTGGACTTTTACAGCAAAACCAACCAAAACTTGCTTTAATATCCTCCATTTGAGTCCTGTGAGTGCGTGTGTGATGGCCTTCCTCTTCCTCCGCCTATGCAGTCGACCAGCAAACCCGTCGCTATAGAATCCATCCATCAATCAATCAATTACGCTTAGAAGTGCGCCAGGATAATAAAACGTGCCTGGAGCTGAGTTTTGTCAGCAGAATTTACGACCGACTTGTCCAGTCCAGCCAGAAACCAAATGGAATTGCAAGAAAATGTGAAACCTTTGCTTCAGCAAAGGAAAAACTTTTTTTTTACGAAATAATTCAGGGGAGTGCACATTCACCATAAATATGAGTATAAATAAATTGTATTTCAGATGAGAAACGTTATATTCGTACCACATACACACTCGTATATTCGTTTATTTTTGAGCCAATTTAAAATTATTGCCTTTGGCTATTTTATTGGATTTTATTTACATGCATTTTGATTTTAAATTTCTGTTGCTAGAGAGATCAGCTCACAGCTCATATTTCATGGCATATTTCAATTTGTGCAACACATTTAAGCGGCTGTACTCTGGGGGTCTCCGAAAGTGCTGGCTTTTGTTCGAATGCCGCAAATGCCTGGACTAAACTGGCAAAGCAATTATTTACCTAAATGGTTTACCCACGTCAATGGCAATCGTCTGGGGGATGGTCCATCTGGTTGTCAGAGGCTGGGGGAGGCTGTGTCGGAAGCTGCAGCCGAACAATGAAATATAGCAACAAAAAAGGGTAAGATAGAGGCACACTAGAAGGCCAGCTGCAATGCGGGTGCTGGACCAGGAAAAGGGCAAACTTTTAATTGAAAATCAACAAAACTATACGAATAAAGGCAGAGCAGAGTGATGGGGAAAAACTTCAACAAAAGATGCAAGTGGCTGACAATTTCTGAAAATCTGGCCGACGGGTCGTATGCGTAATAGTTAAGGCAGCCTGCCAATACTGAAAGAAGCATGCAATAAACCCCGTTGCCATAGTTTCCATTAAATCATATATACTCGTACTCGGTGGCCCTGCAGCGCTCTTAATCAGGCCTGAACAGTCGTTGGCAAGTTGCAACAGACGCCGCGCCGCATCATTATGATGGGACTTAAACAGGCGCCGCATCAGCCACCATCCAGCCACGCAGCCAGGCAGCAGTCACACTGCAGAATAAGTATATTCAAGATTAAATATATGTATTTGTATATGGTGAGAGGAAAAGCGGATTCTTTTTCCCGCTACTTGTGGATGGGATTGAAAATGAGAATGGGAATGGCTGCTAGTGTGCTGGGCTGCTGGGGTACTGGGGTGCTGACTGAAATTGCTGTTGACACAATTCCGCACTGAGATCCCTACCATTGCATTTTATTTGCGTTCCTGCAATTTATCGGAGCTGGCACATGATGCCTACGTGATGCAAATTTACTTTTCGCTGCGTTTTTTAAGCTGTTTGCCGTCGGCCAATGCAGGGGACTCTGCTCTGCATTGTGACAAGCTTATGCAAGCCACCAATCTGCACAACATCACAGCTGTTTTCCATTTGTTCCATGGCTTAATTGAATCGACTCCAGAACGACGCTCGGTCGGTTGTAATGTGATTATCGAACTGTTTTGGTCACAATTAAAGCTAATTGTGATCACAGTGGCGGCACAACAGGAACAACAGACAACACTCCAAGGCCTGGATCGTGTATCTATGTTTATTTTGCTTTTTATTTGGTGACAATAAGCATCTGCAAAACGGTTAGGCAAAATTTAATTATCCAACTGGTTGCACTTTCTCATATGCAATGTTTAAATTGCTCATAAAGCCAAATACTTACCAGGCCATAAAAAATCAATTCGGTCTGCGGCCAAAGCCTTCAAGATTTACGTTTCAATTTCTTGAACAATAAAAATCAGGGCGCCTACAGGCAACTTGGCCAAATGTGCCTGCGATTGCGATTGTGTGTGTGTGTGTGTGTGTGTGTGTGACCATAAGCTGGCTTAGCAGATTTGTTGACGAAATTAGCAGGGACTGGCAGGGTGGTTGGGAGTGATATTCCCATCTCCCGGTGGGCGATATCTATTTTCGGCCAAAGAATTTTGTGACATTCGCACAGATTTATGCGCCATAAAAGTGCGGCTAGACGGGAACATGCATGTCAGCATCGCATCCTGTGGCAGGGGCCAAAGAAGGGACTCACTTTATGGTAGCCAATAAAAAAAGTGGAAACCCAACCAGCCAGCAATAAAAAAAAACGAGAAGGGCAAAAGAATGAGCCTGAGCTGATCATTACATCGAGTATTTAGGGAATACTGTCGCCTTTCATCGTAAGTCCTACGGGAAAAACCAGTGACTGTGTCAGAGCCATTGTTTGCATTGCCTTTATTTTGTATGCCACGAATTAATTTTGTTATTTTTGTTAATTCAAAGTCAACAATCCGAGCCCCCCCCTTTGTGTTTGTCTAAGGTGGTTATGGGACGGACTTTGCTAAATGTTTGCTTGCAAGGGAGGCCTTCATTAACATCTGAAAAGGTCACCTCGGGCAATTTGCACGACAAAACTGCCTGATGAGCTCACGTCTCCGCTCCGCCCCGCTTCTCTACCAAACCCTTTTCCCCTTTCCAATGCGAACATTTTAACTGCGTTAAATATGTAAATATGTTCTATTGTCTTGAAACAGCCAACAGGCTGCAACTGCAAAAGGGATCATACTCGTTGTTATCCAGTGACTGAGTCGCTGCCGAGACAGAGAGAGCCACTCTCAACGTGCACTTTAATAAAGCTCTCAGGCAATGCCAAGTCCGCGTTTAAGTACGCCGCTGAGATACCGCCGCCCCACTCCGGGCATAGCCTTGGGACGATGTCTTGGCTTTCCAGTCATCCTCTCGACGTGCTGCAACCTCTTGCAGCTTCATAATTGCCATGGAAATGCCAACAGTAGCAGCTCTCCCCTCTGGCTGCGAACGGGTTGGGCCGGGGAACGCATTTCTCTGTTGTTTTCAAATTACTTTTCGAAATATTTCCCCCTACCACTACTCATTTTCTTTTACACTTGAATGGCGTTACCGCTCCCTTTGTCCATCCATTCTGCTGCCATAATTACAGGAGGAAAATGGGATTGCATTCCGTTTTTGAGCTGAACGTAATCACGAATATTGCGCAACTGTTTTGCATTTAAAATTTGCTTTAATCAAGCTCATTTCTTTCCAAAGAGAGAAACTTGTTGGCCAAAAGACAAAAGGCCTTGATAGCAGCTATAAAAACAAGAAGCTGCCAGCGGCACCAGGCACCAGGCTGCAGGCTTCCAGACTCCGACAACGAGCTTTGTTGCTTTGGTAGAAAAAGTAAAAGTTTCTGAACTCTCGAGTTCATTTCACTGCATGTGTTTTTTTGCTCTTAACTGATTTTCATATTGTTGTTAGTTTCGCGAAGTATATATATACGTATACATATATAGAGTCTGTATGTGTGTATAGTTTGCCAACTTTCGTTTTGGTACAAGGAACAACTTTTAAGCATTTTCAACACCCCAATTTGGGCGACTCTATCATGCCAAGTGTTCGGCGACAATTTTCTTTTTTCTTTTGGCCCGAAAATTTGAGTGCAAAATGTCGCCTAACTTTCCAGCCATGTTCGTTTAATTGCTTGAAGGTATGGACTTGTACTGTTTAAAGAGCCAATCGATATAACAGAGAATTTCAACAGCATAGCCCATTCAATTTGATTTTAGAGCAATCAAAATTTAATTTGTGCTGCAATTGATCGAATGACAGCCAGCCCTCTGGCACAGAAATGCACACGAACCCCAGTGAAAGCCAGAGGTAATAAGTATTTACAAAATTGACTGCATTTCTCTCTCATTCGAAACTAAATTATGGCAAAAATCGAAGGATGTTTAGAGAAATTATAAATTATTAACGAGAACATCATGCACAAATACTTATGTATGTATGCATGTGTTTGCATTGTACAAAGGAAAATAGTTATAGGCACAAATGCCTAGATAGTTACTTAGGATAGGCAAACACTGCAGCCAAAATAAGACATCCATAAGCCAACTCAAGCATACATTTGTTAGGGCATTATATGCAATGTATACGGATATACAACTGCAGATGCTTATTTCTATGCATGCATACATACAATGCATGGTCTTTCAACCTTCTGCTTTCGAGTGGAATACTCGTAAATCCCCTGCAAAGTCAGAGTGGGTCAGAGGTGTAGAAGAGAGGATTTTGCTCAGCAATGCCACTGAGTGAACGTCTGTCAAAGTGCTACAGACTCTAGTGTCAAATATATTTTAGCATTTTAAATATTTACATCTGGCATATGGCATAAGGCACTCGTAAGTGAGATGCGCCAGCCCGTGGGTCGGACAGCCCTGAGATTAGGCCAAGAAGATGATGGTTGTAGCAGTCTGTTTTGTAGTCGCCCAGGGCCGGTAAACACGGCCAAGAAAAGCCCCAGAGTCCTTAGAATTTATAATTGTAATTTAATTTGCATAAACTTAAGCCAACCCATCCCCCCGCTTGGGTTTGGTGGTCTCACAGCCCAAACACATGTCCAATTAAATGAATCATTTAAATGGGCGAGTCAAGGCCTGCCTGGAAGGCGGCGGGTAGCGGCTCAGATTTTAAAACAATATATTTTAATATTTATGGCGAAAGTTTTGAGGATGGTTTTTGTCTAGGCCTTGGAAAGGATTTAGCCAAGCGGCTGCCCAAACAACCATAATAATCAACACAATGAGGATTACGCATAATGAAATCCGCAGGAAAGGCAGTTGACAGTTTTATTAAATTGTTCCACACAATTACTCGAGATTTATTCGGAGGAAACCAACGACGACTGACGTTCACGAGCGTTAAATTTCAAATACTTAGGGGTATAGAGACATTTGGTTAAAGGATATTAACGACATTAGATCAGATTATAGGTCAGCCCAACCACACTTTAAATTTATATTATTTTTTTCAAGCATTTATTTATCTCGGTTTGCTTTTAAGCTTTTTTAATTAATGGCCAATAAATTATTTTCAGCACAGTTTGATATACATACTGTTTTAGATAAATCATTATGATTTCATGCGTGTTTTTTGTGGAAAACACACATGTTAATTGCTTTGCCACACAATAAATATCAACGCACATCGGATGGGATTGCCATAAAGATAGAGATATCAATTTATTTAGCATAATTTGCAAATACAAATAGATGCACGGCAAGCAGATTGTGGAGCCACATACATTTTCTGGCGGAAGGATGGAGATAAAACAGTCAAGTGACATTTTCCATTGGTGTCATCGTACGACTGTGGCCGGAAATAAATCAATGGACTACCCAATGGGTGGGGTGTAGGCTACATCTACGAGATCTACGATGGCTATGATATATGCATGCCATACTCCATTCTTTCATACGAGTATGAATGGGCCACGCCACCAACTGTTGCACACGGTCGAGTGGGAGCCGAGTCCGGAGAGTGTGACAGGCACTCCAACCAGCTGGTTGATGCAGTACAATAAGCAGAGTTATTGTTATTTTATGCTAATGCCGCCAGCCCGTTGAGCCTCAAGAGAATGTACAAAAGAAATTAGCAAATGTAAAAATGGTGAAGGAGGGGGAGGAGAAGCGTGCAAGGCGAGGGAACAAATTCAACGGCAACTGTTGACAGTTATCCTGACACAAACACGCATTGTAATGTCTAACAAGCTTCACAATGGCATCCGTGGCAGCCCCAAACATCGCCTGTCACTCAACGGCCTCAGAGTCCTGCTGACAGACCCGGCCATACTCATACTCATATCCGCACCCGTGCCCGTGCCCTGCCCGTACTTATACTATAGTACTTCCAAGTACGTACACACACACTCGTATGTGGGCCCTTGTGCTCGCCTGCCTTGTGTCATTTACGTATTCACACTTGTGCTTCTTAGGACTGAACTTTAGCATCTGGGGGTTATGATATTTGTACGTATGAGTGCGTCCCGTCCCATCAATAGAGCAAAACCCAAAATGGAATTAAGAAATTGTTTCTGGCTCTGACACATGACATTGTCTTGCTTTTTGCCTGCCCGTTGCCTGGTGCCTGGTGTCCTGGCGCCTGCGGCGCATCCTGCTGTAATTTAATGCAATTCTCGACATTAAATGCATGCCATCCGGGCCTAAGGCTCTGCTCTGGCAAATTCAATTGCCACAAAAAGAGTGCAAAATGACAGAGCATAAAGGATTTAGTTTAAATGCAATTTGCATTTAACAAGAATTTCTCCTAACATTCAGTCAACAGAGCTCTGTTATCGCTCTCTCTTTCTCTTTCTCTGTCTCTCTCTCCCTCTCTCTGTGTGTGTTTATTGCGCACGGCACAGCTCATTCATAAAAGGCGGCTCGGAGAGCAGTCTCGGAGAGAGCCAGGATTGAGTTGTTGGCGGCTGCAATAAATACAAAGGATCCAGCATCCGCAGCAACAGTGGATGTCGCAGCGTGGAACTTGGTGGGTCGACGAGATTCGGCAAGGATTCAGTCAGTTATCGCGTAGCCGCCGTGTGTAACAGACAGTCTTACGACGCATCGTCTGGATTCTGGAATCTAGTGGATATTTAAAGCTGGAGTTTGTTCGGTAGCCGAGTGCATTAAATTAACATAAAATGTAATTCGAGAAATTCATTATTTTTTGTTCTCTCTGGGTCTTAAATTTTAATTAAAAACAAATAAGTGTTATGTGAGAACCAGCAGCGGTAGCATAGTTCTGAAACAAGGAGTGTAAATAATATATGGAATTAAATAGGACGACTGCAATTGTAATTGGAATTCGATCATGTTACGCGGAAGTAGTTACAAATTGAATATAAATTAAATATGGACTCTGCCAGGCCAGGCCAGGCTGGCTGTTGATACTTGTGTGTTTATGTGTTGTCTGTGTCTCTGACTGAGTGTGGGTGACAGCCAGCCTGTGTGTGTTTGGAGATGTGCGGGAGTGCCGCTGGCATAGCGTTAATTTCTCACACTTCAAACGCTACCGTCCCCGGCAGTGCCGGCAATGGACTTCCGCCTTTGCCTGCTGCGGATGCTTCCATTTTGTTTTTGTTTGTGTGCTCTTTTCCCTGATTTTACCCAACTTCCCACTCTCTATGACTGTCAGAATGAATAGCCCCAAGTGCTGCTGTTGTTGCTGCTAGCCTGGCTTAGCTTTAATTTGTTCTCTTCTGACAAAAACTAAGCAAAGAGCGTGGGGTGGGGAGCGGTGCATTCAGCCAGGCTCTTTCTTTATGATTAGTTAATGGGATTCAATTTCATTTGAAATTGGCCACCACAGAACGTAGTAATCGCAGCTGCCGCAGCTTCCTTTCACTGATTACATAAGGCACGTTCTGGGGGGGAAACACTTGTTGGTTGGCTTTTTCCCCGCTGAATGAGGCACGTAGCCCAGAGGGGGGGCGAATCACAGTTGCGCCATTACGAACTTGGCAAAATGAATTGAATATAGGCAGAGGCAGAGGCGGAGGCTGAGGTGGAACCCCCTAATGGCAGTAGTTGAGTTTCGATTTACATTTAGCCTCCATAAATTGATTGGGTGGGTGCGAAAGTGTTGCCTATATATGGGGCATGGGCACAGCTAACAACAGCAATACTGTAAATGTACGAGTAAATGTAAAATTCAGCGCTAAAGTGCCGACACGGAAAAGTACGAGTATACGAGTGTGCATTCTAAAAATAACAAAGAAGACAAGTGGGATAAAAACAGCAACGGTTACGGTGTAAAGTTCCACAGCAAACTCAGCCAGCAAAAGCAAAAGGCACAAACAAACAAACAAATAAACGAATACAGAAAGAAACCCCGAACAAACATCAGTGAAGGTTATCCCACGGTGGTGTGGTGTGCCCCTTGAAATCCGGAGAGTGTATGCGTCCGGAATTGTGTATGTGGGTGTGTGGGTGAGCGCCGAAAGGCAAGTGCAAGAAATGTGCAAAGTAATGTGCTGCAACTAAAGTGAAATGCCATCCGTGAAATCCCCTAAAAGTGAAATTCTTCCTGGGATTATTAGAAGCGACAGCCCCTGCCACAGCTACAGACTAAGGAGCACCAGTACCAGCAACAGCAGCATGACCAACGACAATTCCTTAAGGCTCCGTCTACTGCTGTTGAGCAACATTTTCGGATTACTCAGCTGGACCCAGGGTGAGTCTCTCCATCAACGGCTTAGCCAACTCTCTTTGCCGCTGATTGCTTTCCCTGAATTATGGAAGGGCAGACGGAATGAAAGGCAGGACAGCATTCGTTTTACAGCCTTATTAAATCTGTATTACATAAATCACAGCAAACGTTTCGCTCTGCTTTGAATTTTTACGAGCATTTTGAGATTTTACATTTACCATTTTCCATTTCCCAGTCGCCATTCGCCAGTCGCCAGTTTTATGTCATAATGAGTGCAGCCTTTTGATTTAATGACAACTGCCAGCCATAAAGGAAACCATATATATACATATATAAAATATCATAATATTTACGCACAATATATGTATGTATGTTTGTGCATGCGTGTGCTGGCTTTTATGTTGCCCGTGATTTATTTTGCTTCTTATTTTTATGATAATTTATCAAATATGCATAATAAAATGCCGCCGTTTATGGCGAACATTTCATATGAAAGGTGGCAACAGCCTGCTGCCGATCAGGACCATCTCTTACACAGAGTACACACATATGCATTCGTATGAATGCGCTTGTGTGTGTGTGTGTGTGTGGTGTCTGGCGTGAAAAGTCAAATCAACCTGGGATTATTTCGCATTTGTTCTTGGCTTCTCGCAGCTTTGCCCTTCGAGTATTTAGATGAGCACGATGACTTCAACTATGACCTGGACACGGCCCAATCCCAGGCCAAGTACGACGCCCGTCTTCTATCCCAGCAAATGCTCAGCGACGCCGAGCTCCTCCAGCAGGCCGAAGGCACTGGCCCACACACGGTAAGACCTCAGGGAGGGCTTTCTGATGGCTCAGTCGAGGATTTGGAGCCGCACAGTCGGGCAGCCGCCTGCTTCACTAACGGCCACAAGTACACACATGGACAGAAGGTAAGAATGTGAGGATGAAAGTATGTAGTGGGCACAGAGGAGATGTTAAATTGAAAATTGTTTTCCTTTCGCTTGGTCGGCCAGAGAGCACTTCATTTCACTTTGTCAAGCACAGAACATGTTTTCTTCTTGATTATCGCACCCCCAAGTTGGTTTATTCAAAATGAAGTGAGCACTCGGATTAAGTATCTTCAATTAGGATATGATATCATTTGGTATTTGCGGCTGTCAGTGGATGACTCCTGGCTTTCGCTTAGGCATCTATTATGCAACACAACGCCATCCAGATGATTGATAGCTGCTATTGTGAATACCCAAGCTGCTGACCATTTAAATTTTCCACTTTCACACTTTCCCAACCATTTGTCGTAACCTTTTTCATCCGCTTTTTGGGTTCAGGTGCCGCGCCAGGATGCCTGCGAAGTGTGCCTCTGCATGGACGGAGAGATATTCTGCTGGTGGGAGCGATGCGGTTAGTTTTCCCGCCATTATGGGCCATGCATAATATAACAAGAAACTTTGCCTTTTCCTTACTTTTCCCACAGATAAGGCCAATGCAAACAAGGTGAAGGCAACGGCCGCAGGAAACGCCAACGACAACGCCAACGACAATGGAAAAGGCAAAGGCAAAGGAGGTGGCTTTGGTGTTGGATTCGGCTTTGGCGGTGGCAATGGCGATGGCGATGGCGCTGCTGCTGCTGTTGGTGTTGGTGACTATTCAGATCCATATCGCTATGAGAGCAGCACGAGAAAGTCAACAAAAGTGCATAAAACGGCTGGAAAAGTTGGCAAGCGGCGCAACCATCGCAGGAATCAAAAGAATTTTAATGACTACGAAGTTTTCCACAGCCACAAGCAGCAGCAGCAGCAGCCAACGGATTATAAAAAGTCACCCATAAACCAGAAACAACAACAACAACGGCAGCAGCACGAGCATCAGATACAAAAACAAAAGAATGGCGATGCCACCAACTACAATATAATCAAGCAACACAAACACGAGCAGCATCAGAAGGTGGCCGAGACGCAGCAGCAGGAGCTAGAACACGAGCAGGACCATAGTCTGGTGGCTTCGACAGTTAATCAGGCGGCGGCAAAGGAAACGCATTATCAGCAGCCAGCAACAACCACGCCCTCGCACCAGCAGGAGGAGGAGGAGCAGCAGCAGCATCAGCAGCAGAAGCAGAAGCAACATAGCTCCCATCCACAGAGGCCACAGCATTCGTCCAGCAAGATCTTAAATTTTCCCGAAAACTTGCCGGCCCTGCTTTATTACGACTACAAGACGGAGGAGCATGAGCATCATCAGCATCAGCATCATCAGCAGCACTTGCTGCATGAAAAGCAACGCTTGCAACATCAACAGGAGGCGTTGGCCCGACAAAAGCCACCAGCAGATGCAGTCGTTGAACTCCATACCGACTTGGGCGTTGATAAAAACTTTGATGAGGCGGAAACCGACAGCGATATTTTGCCAGAGCCGCCAACCAAGCGCCCCAAGGCAACAGCACCCACACAATGGACAACGAGCAGCAGCCCCAGAAGCAGCATGGCCAAGGCGTCGATGACAAACCAGGCAGCAACATCCACAACGGTGACAACGACAACGATGACTACGACAGGAACAAATGCCATAGCGACGGGCAGACTGTCTAGTCAGGACAGTGGAGGAGCTAAAGCTGGATATGGGGCCACAGTTGCAGCCACAAATGTGAGTGTAGTCGGAGCTGAAGCAGGGCTCTTCTGCTTGGCTGTACTTTTTGCTGTGTGGCTTTAAGAGCCCCAGCCAGATGGAGACGCTAGCCCAATTAGGATTTGGGCTCACCAGGCCACTTCATTGGTGCACAGCGCTGACAGGCCAGAGTTTTTTGGTCGCGCCGTCACCAGTGAGCCTGAAAGTGCTTTCGTAATGGGGTTTTTTCGAGCTTGACTGGGTTTATTATTTATTATGCAGTCAACTTGAATTAACAGTATGTTTTGTTTTGTTTGTTTTCTTCCCTTAATGCTGGCCAGCTGCAACCGGATAAGAGCGGTGGCAAGGACCTGGACGATGCATTTCATCGGTGGCTGACATCGACGGAGCTGAATGCTGACAGCACAAACACACCGGACGATGCCTCGGAGCAGGAAACAGCAGCATCGACAATAATCGATGATGTTGCCATCAGTAACAAGAGTGACAGCGGCACCAGAGGCAATGGCAGTGGGAGTGGCAGTGGGAGTGGGAGAGGTGGCAGCAGCAAAGACAATGCCAGGAACAACGTTGCCGATGCTGTCTTCTTCCGCAGCTCGTACAATGATTACAGCAGCGAATTCAATGGGAGCGTTGTCAACATTGACATTACACTAACTGCAGTTGATGTGCATCCCCGACGCCAAACGGATTTAATTGCAAATGGCAACAGAACATCATGTGTGAGTACGGTGGCAACGCCAGGAATCGCTGAAACGCCAGAAACAACAGCAGGGACAACAATGGACAAACAGGCAAACGACAGGAGGAGCACCGTACCCGTCACCAGCAGCAGCAGCATCAGTACCCCCACCAGCGACAATCAGGATCAACCTCTGGCGAGTGGCAGCCCAGTGGTGGCACCGTATACGCTGACAACGATTATAACAACAACGCCGCTGGCACCAGGGCGTATGTGCAATGTTTTGGGTAAGCAAGACAGTCGAATCGACGAGGCCCCCCGTAGATTATTGCTAACGAAAATAATTCCCTACCCATCCCATCCCGTCCCATCCCATTTCACTCCCTTCATTCACCACACAATTGCTCACTTCCTAATCCCATTTCAACTACAATCCAAACTCCGTTCTATTTGTTTTTGCAGGCAAACTGTATAAAATTGGCGACATTCTGCCCCAGGATACGGGCAACTGTCTGCAGTGCATTTGCACGGATGCGGTGACGCCCGACGAGATGCCGAGCGTCACCTGCAGCCCCCACAACTGCCCGCCCCTGGTGCTGCCGGATCTGTTCGATGCGACTGGTTACTGAGGTTACGGGCTGGTGCTGTAAGCTGGGTGCCGTGCCGGGCTTGCTTCCGGTCACCGGGATGGCGGCAATAACGAAATGATTGCATTGATCAAACAGTAAATTCGATTGAGATGTGGCAGCCGCAGCTGCAGCAGAGGAAGCGCTTTGGGTAGAGCCAATTTTCAGTCAGTCTCTCAACTAACTCAAGCATAAATTGTATGGATTTCAATGTAAAGCCCTCCCTATCACGAGTGTCTCTAGGCACTCTCTAAAAACGAATACCTATCAGCAAACATATAACTAATTCACATATATACGAGTATATACCGATCAACTAAGAAAGAAAGAGAGAGAGGGAGAGAGAGACGGGCGTAATCTAGTTTGTAAGCTGAATATTTATGCATTTTATAAGAATGCGAAGTATCTCTCTCGTTCATATGTAGTGGATCAAACACCACAATCCCCAACCAACCAACCAACCAACCATTGATGTATACAGCAGTAGAAATTTTAAAGAATTTATAGATGTACTTCAGCAGAATATATACACTACACAACATATATATATATATATAAATCTATACCTATATCTACACCCATAACTATATCTATGTATGTATTAAATTCAGTTTGGACTTTGGACACAAATTCATTTCATGACTGAGACAATGGAGTGCAAGGTTTTTCTTATACAATTTATTGAATGGTTGGAGGGTAAAAACCTACAAAAACATACAAATATAGGCAACTAAATCTATAACGAAAAAAACTGAACAATGACAAATAATGAATTGTGTAATATTATAATTTATTTGTTAAACAAAACCAGAACAATGTATTTTTTATTTGCATAAAAAAAATCTCTTTTTTCACGCTTTCTTTAGGCATTTAAACATACGTAACGAGAAAACCACAATATATATGATACAATATATTATGAGTAAATATGGAAATTGTTTTAACAAAGCTAAAATGAGCAAAGAAAGACACCATATCGAGTAAAACTAACAGTTTTAAGACACAAGAAAAAAAACACACACACAATATATGTATGCATGTATGTATGTTCAACTATACTGACGATTATATGTGTGTGTACGTGTATGTATACTTAGTGAGTCTCATATATGTATGTACGAGTAGTTTGACGATTGAATGAATCAGGTTTTTAAAAATTGTTTTCGTTTTACATTAATTTTAAAGCAAGTTTTGGCGTGATAACCATCGATTAATGCGGAGAGAGTAAAATTAAGTGAACTATACTTGAAAAGTAGACATTTAAATTTCGAATATAAAAAACAAATCAAAGGTAAACTCAATGGAGATTTACGTACACACACACACACACACACACACACACACACACAAATGCTCGACCAGGTCTAGTCGAGAACACATTACACTAAAATATCTAAAATCAAAATGAAAATCAAACGAAAATATACGTACTTGCATGAAATACACATACATAAATATTTAATATTGATGTTCCACAGAATACGAGCAACAAAATAGAACAAATTGAACTTCGGTAAAGCGTATACAGCACCTAAATATATGCGTATAGTATATAAATATATGGTATTTGTGTAACATAAATGTAACTAGCTAAAGCTCTCTACTAACACTTGATACACGATACATATACATCTACAGATACAGTTACATATAGTATGTGTGCGTTTAAATTGATTTTGTGTGTTTGAATCAAATTGAAATCCAATTGACGTGAATAAACTGAAACCCATCTAAGGACTTATGCGAATTGTTTCAATTTTTTTGTCGGGTCTTAAAGGGCGAGGACTAAGCCTATCAAAAGGTAAGTTAACTTTTTAATTCCCAATTAATTTATTCACTACCAGTTCGCTGACTAAATACTGGGTATATGCACATATATCCATGACAATTAAATTTCAATCGCTCTCGCTTCCCGACTCGAATCCGGAATCCTCGTCCAGCTCGTTCTGAAGTGGATCGGGACGGAGCACAGCACGTTGCAGGGGTACGTGTGCAGGTGGCAGTGGCACATGTAGATGACCCGGTAGGTAGGCAACAGCGGCCATGGCAGCAATTGCTTGATGTTCCCGCTCAGCCCGAATAATCATGCGCTGGCGAGCCTCCAGGTCGCGCGTCAGTTGCATCGAAAGCTGGTTGTCCCCACTGCCGTCCATGGCTAGATTAATGGCTTAACGGATAAAGGTTTCCGAATGAAAAGGTATTTCCAAATAGGGATAACAATTACTTTTTTACTAAGAATTTTTTTTTTTGTAAATTTTGATATTGTCTGAATCAACTTTCGATTGAACTAAACATACTGTTTAGATCGGGGCTGACAGTCCCAGAAAATACAATACGACTACGGAAATTGCCAAACGCAGATTGCTTGCTTCATATTGTTTAATAAAACACATCGAAACGGGGCCCAATAACGCTCACTCATATTCGGGTTTTATTAGTTTTTCAAGGGTGTGGGGGATTGGGTGGCTGCCATTCGACGCAATCATGGTAGTGGCAGTGGCAGGGGCAGGAAACCGCAGGGCACTTTCCACTTTCCAGCTGTGCATGTGTAAGCGGAAACGGTAGTCCCGCCATCCCGTTTCCCAGTGCCGAAGTTGACTGACCGCATAAAGCCATTTTGCCATTTTGGGCAGACACCCCCCCACCATCGTATACCACACCACCACACAGAAAAGGGACTTTGGCTCTAAAGCAGCCAAAGCAGGCCACACAATACTTTACTGTCAATTTGTGATAGCGGCAGCTTTATTTGAAAATATGTAGGTATGTGTGCGACTCTACTTTGATGGAGGCGACAAGCCGATTTTTGTGGCCAGCCCGGATGACAGCTGGTTTCTGCCAGTTGGTCAGTTGCTTGGTTGCTTGGTTGCCTGTCTGGTTGGTTGGCTCCCCACTAGCTGATGTTGCATGTGAAATTGAATATTTACAGCATGATTTTTTTCCGCGTGGATAGCGCTTTCAGTAAGGAACACTGAATGGTTTGGCCCAAAGCGATTTGCAATTCAATGGAAAAAAAAGTAAAATGGAAACCAGCAAAGAGATCTCAACCAGAATGCCTTTCCCAGTTCAGTTTTTAACCGCATTTACTTGCCCCGAGCTTATGCACGGCATTATTATTATTAATATGGCCAGAGGCACTCGGCACTCTCTTTGCTCCCGAAGGTCTCTGCTAATTAAATTCCACACATATATATATGTATATGTAAATACTATATGGAAATTGGCTTTGCTGGGGCATATCTGGGTGTCGGGGAATCGTGCAATATGCGCATTTTTAATTACGCTGCACATTTGCATTTGAATTGCGCATTTTACAGGCTGATAAGTCAGAATAAAGGCAACAGTTGTGCGGGGCTAAAGCCAAAACCAAAACCAGAGCCCAGCATGGTCCGCATACATACATCCGACTGTATGCTGCATACTGCATACTCGTACTCGTATATTTTTTATACTGATTTTCAGAATGTGTAATTTTCAAGTTGACATCTTTTGTCCCAAACCAGTGACCTCGTTGCATACACACACACACAAACACAAGCACTTTAATCTCATTGCATTAGTGTTGGGCACTGCCTCCAGCGGATCCATAGCATACTTTGGTGGGCACTCGCCACAAAGGGACGGCCCAGATGCTAGGGGTAAGCAGCGGAACAGAAAGGGAAAAATGCATTTCTCTGCATACCAAACGCAAATCAGAGAAAGTTGAAAAACCAAAGCGAATCTTGTTGCGTTCTTTATGTTGCTGGTATGCCCTCTGGCCATTAGAAAATTGCTGGTGTTTGATTTCTTGCTAGATTTCTTGATGGAAACATTTTCAATTGCCATTGGCTTCCCTTTGACTTTCTACCTCAGTGGTGTTATATTTACACCATTGATTAGGTTGTGCTTGTGCTTTCCATTCTTTAAATATTCCCAAAACTGGTCAAATTTCTGCTCTTAAATAGTGAAACTTAATGGCACGGCAAGCTATCATATTCCCTATTTAGAGCGAACACGTGTTGAAAAAGGGTTTCACACCCACAGCCTGCCACGGAGGCGCCGTTTAAGCTATTTTTAATGACAGGCTCTGACGGCTGACGCCTGCTGCCTGACAACGGCTAATGATGGCGGCTAGCCAAAGTTTTGTGGCCTTTGCGGACTAAAATTGAAAACGCCTGCAATCATTAAAAAAAAAACTTGCCTTAATAGAACGTGCCATGAGGCAGGTGCCACATTAATTAGTGTGAGCAGCCACACATGCAGACGCCACACCAAAGCGCAGGCACAAGCTACATATATGTAGTACATGCACGTGAATATCAAATGAAGATTTCCTGAGGCAAGCGGTTTAATTTCGCGAAGATGTGTCGGGAAGCAATTTGGGTCGACATGAGTGAAATTATATTCCAGAATGCATTTCCCTTGTGCTGCTTGAGAAATAGAACACTGAACGAAAGGGGAAGACAGCTGGTGAGGGGAGGCATTGTGGTGGGCTGGGGGCAGGTGTGTGATTGTTTTCCGTGCCCCGGGAAACCGACTCACCTCCTTTGATACTTTTCCATTGCATTATAATTAGCAAGCTGAATTATTAAGTATACGACCTGGTAGCAATTTACTTAGCAGGAATATTTTAGTATTTTAGAAGCCAAAACCTTTGGCCCCTGTCGGCCAATATCAGTTATTTAGTGTGGCTCGCACCTACCTGCGGAATAACCACACACACGCGTATAAGTATAAGAGTTTTGTGCGTATATGTACATATGGAAAGGTTACACATAGCCCTTATGCTCATTTATGAGCATTTATCGTTCATTTGGCAGCGTGTCTGAGCCATGAACAGGAATTTCACAAATGCCTAACGCTCCCATTGTTCCACAGTCCCGACACCCATATCCACACCTACACCCACTCGTACCTCTATCCGTATCTCCCTTTGTGATGTGTCTGCTACCTCAGGCCAGGGCGACGGAGCAGAGAAGAACAGCTGTGCCTTTGTGTTGGAGGCGAGACTTCAAGTGGCATCCTAAAGCCGAGCACACAAATTAATCTTCTTTTGCCGCCCCACACACATGGCCTCGGGGCCAGACTTAAGTTTTCCATTTAAAAGCATCGCTGAAAGCGCCCAAAATAGTTTCGAAGCGATAAACGTACATTAGTACAATACAATTATGGTATTAGCATACGTATAGAAAGCAGGGCAGAGAAGGTGTAGCCGAAAATTCCCCATCAGTGAAGGAAAACATTGCAGCTGGAAATTAGAAACTGAAATTTATCATTCCAAACAGACCCTTCAGATGGTACATACTCGCACAATATATAAAGTTAGTATTTAGCTAAAGCTGATTTTAGGAATTTTCAATTTAGTTTTCTGTGGGTCTGAAAGTTACTCAGCTTGAATGAGATGACTAGGGCCAAAGTGTTGAGCGAAAACCAGCTCCAAATTAGTGACTTTATGGTGACTGTGTGAACGCAAACAGTCCAGTCGTGTGGTCACAGCTGTTGTCGACCCTGCCGATGTTGTGGTCTCTCCGTCTGGACAGAACCTGCCAGATGGGCTGGTGCTCCACTGTCGGTATCTATGGAATATTTACAAAGTTTCAGCCTCGTTAGGAATCGTCTGTTTTGCTGGTTTCTTTAATTACGTACAGAAATTATGAGCTTCAGCTTAGTGCCTTCACTGGGTTGGTGATTTTCGCTTTGCCCTTCGGCCAATTTCAGTTTATAGTCGAGTGCGTAAAATTTGGCCTGTTGATGTGGTCAAAATGATATGTATATATTGCTACGGCTATATTTGTATGTGGATACAGATAGGCGACTCTTTTTTTGTGGCCAAAGTGATCAGTCAATGGTATATTTCGCGTGCTATTTCGCCTATCTGTCGGGTATGTTGCAGTAAAAAGTGGACAAATCGTGTAATTTTCTATTTAATAGCTCTTGACCTGGTTTTACACACACCCACGGGAATAGTTCTTTCTATCACCACCCCAACCGAATGCATCCACGGAATTTTCGGTTTGTTTTGTAGCAGCGCGCAAATATGCAAAAGCGCAATTTGTGTTAAGTTGGCTTTGTTACCGTTACCGCCTCTTTCACTCTCTCCTTCGCTCTCTCTGTTGGTATGTGGACGTGTCCGTTTGTGTGTTGATGTTGCATACATTCAGACCCCGAAAGGTTGTAGAAACATTTTATGCGACTGCCACAAGTTTGTTCACGAAAGTTTAAGCCTGTAAAACTTTTAATACAGTGCCTGCCAATTGTTGCAAGCCAGTCCAACAGCAGTGTGCCGTTCGTTGCCATGAACAGAAACAAGCTTTTAGCGTATACACACATTAAGCCTTTTATTTGCTCGGTCTCGTCTCGCTCGTCGTTTATGAAAGGGTTCCCGTCAGGAGCAAAAGTTTTACATACACCTAAGAAACTCATACTTACACTTAGTCTTCACCATAGCTTCACCTGCTCTTTCTCACTCTTTCTCTGTTGCCTCTCTCTCTCTTCATCTCGCTCTAATAACGATTGGCCCAGAGACAGGAGAGTGAAGGAGCAGTGAGTGCGGCTACGAAAACAAATGAAGAAAATATGCTTCAATAACAAAACACTCAACACTTTTGGCAACACAAAAAGCTGGTAAAAAGCTGGTAAAAATCAGGTGAAAAGCATGTGAAAAGCATGGGACGAGTACCAAGAGGAACAATGACCGATTTACATAAAGACCCAAGCACGGAAAACAGACAGAACACAGAGCAAAGACCCACACATACTC